ATATCCAGACAATTTGATTTTTCTCATCAATCCGCAATAATTAATCTGCAGGCAATAATTCTGCTAATTAATCGCACCTCAATAGAATTTTCACTACTTACATTTTACCATTTTAATATCTAAAAAGTCAAGTCAAATAAAAGTATTTGAAATTCTACTGAAATGCGATTATAAAGTAAACATTACCATAATTGCTAGGTATGTCACGATCTAGTTGATAGTCTAAGGTGTAGCCGGCCATATCATGAAAAGAACGAATTCAGTTTTACATTTTAATAAAACATTTGCCCGGCAACAATGCCATTGGCTTGCAATGGAGGTAATGAAAGGTGTCGGGCTTGCGGGCGGGCCGCGCGACGGATCGATACAGTCGGCCCTGCCACCTTGTACCCCTGCCAATTCAACATAGATCCGCGCATCGCCAGAGCCTCTTCACAACAAGGTTACTCTACGACCAGCCACAGACCTCATTAGAATGGGCATATAACATCTGCTGTATTTGCAGATGGATATCACGAAAAGTTTGTCGATTGATTCAAGCTTAGAAAGACATGCAAATGCGTATACAGATTAATGGTGTTTGCGAGTACAACATTTTTATGAGAATGATATTAGTAACTGCTTGTAACTTACTCGAAAGGCTCAGAAATCTTGAAGATATATTTAAAAACAAAATATTGTTAAAAATTACTATTTTCATTTAATAACAATAAAGTCTTGTTAGAAGAATATTTACACCAAACTTTTGTTGTACTCACACCCAATAATTTTCTATAGAAGATAATAGTTAGCTTGATGATGACATACAATGAACCTCGATGGTATAGGAGTTTGGAAATCGGTGCTCACATTATTTTTAAGATAATTTTAAAAAAATATTCTCATATTTGAGGAGGGACGACGTGTATGTGCTACATACGGCAAATAAAGAATATTACTTAAACATAGATGATGCAGTGTACCCTTATGTCCACCACAAATTTAATTTGTTTAAATGTAATTAATAAGTAATGTTGCAAATGACGAATAGACTCCATCATTAACTAATTTTGTTCACAATTAACCTCTGGATGTATCCTACAGAAAATCACGTAGAATGGAGAATTCACTGTCAAGCACATTACAACACGTGAAAATAATGATACGGCTGATCGCTAATATGTCAAGCCGAATTGACTATCATTGCAATAGAAAATAGAATTAGCGATTGAAGAGTACAAAACAAAAAAAAATGCAAGTCCGTGCAACGTGCATCCTTAGTATACATACGATATTAATGATCACATAATAAATAACAATAATAATAATAATATTTATTTCCAAAATTTACATGTGCTTATACTCAATATTACAATTGAGTAGCTTCTGTGCCTGAATGAGGTCTATATACTAAACCTGAATCTCACGCTCCAGCGCTCCTCCCTTATTATACGGTCTTAGTATAATTATACAACATTCGATGATAATAAATATTGAAATCCATAATTGATCCTTTTAATTTCAACAATTATAAATTATCAATGATTAACACCAATCAAAATAATAATAATAAAAAATAACATATTTTACATTTGAGATTGAGTGCCTGTCGGTGTGTAAAAAGTAGACGTATGAGAGAGGGTATGTGAGTAGAGGAATTATCATTTTATCTTTATACCAAGATACAAAGAATGTTAAATCGAATAACGGCAATAAGAAATATCTAAAGCTTGTAATTTAAAAATAAGATTGTTAGACGTCAAAGAAATTACACAACAAAGAAACATTAGGAAAAGGGTTGTTACTGTTGTGAAACAACTGTTTCGCAAATATCGTTGCGAGGGCAAAAATTAAAATTTCAACATCTCGGAAACACTTGTATGGTTTTGGTACTGTTCGGTGAATTTATAACTTTGTTCACAATTAATCCGGGAATCAATGATCTGGAAGTACCAGCTATTTACGAAAGACCGTTTGGGTTGAGTTTCCTTTGTTCTCTTCATATAAGCATTATGTGTTAAAACAGATTGGAGACAAGATAGGGAAAACTAAATACTTTCTCATAAGAATGTTGTAGACATTTTGTTAAAAAAACGAATCATAAAGGCTTTCTCAAGTGTTTTTGTGCAGTGAGGCAGAAAGCGGATTCAATTTTTTTTGTCATTAATCGGTTCTTTCATGTCTCGTAACATTATTCGAATAAAAATTATGTAAAAAAAACAACTGTCAAAAGCATTATCAGCATACGTCTCCAAGACCACATTCCCAAGGCATACATTTTTCGCATTAAACGCAGGGCCCTAGTAAAATGGAGAGGGTTCGAAATTTCTCAGCGAGATCGAATCAGAATTTGACATGAGCAAAACGATTATGAAAAATATCGAACCCGAATTCTAATTCACTCATGTATCCGAGAAGGCACGTCATTTGGTGTAGAAAATTTATTGATTCCATTTTTGCATATGAATACAAAACAAGATTGATCGATTCATACTTGTCTAAGACACTCTATTCCTATTTAATTTCGAAGCCACGAAAAGTAATTTCCAGTCGAAGGTTGAGCGGATGTCGCTTGTGAAATGAATTCGAATACTTGTGAAATCAAATTCGGATTCGGATGTTTACGGAATCGCAGGGCAGGCCAGGAATACCGAGAAGCACACGAGACCGATTATCATGAAGATTTTTGGAGTGGCGTAACGCTACCGTTTGAGGATATTTTTCACTGTATTCAAATAGTATTCCCAAATATCTTGTGTCTTTTTATTGAGGGATAATAAACAGTTACACAATAAATATCCAAACTAATGCTGACATAGCTGTCAACATAAGTGTAAAAAAGGAAGATATTTGGGTCCTTTAGCCAATGACATTATCATTGTGTTTAACTATTAGGGGTTAAAGTAAGAAATTGCCGTTTTATTGTAATAGGTTCCTTGAATTGACACAGAATCTTCGGTGATTTGACTGATCTGCAGAAAGATCGCGTGTTGAAACTTGTGTTGCATTGCTGCATCGGTACAGAAATTAAGGAATATTCGATCGAATTGTGACATGTGATGAAAAGTGGATTCTTTATTATCATAAAAAGAAAAATGCAATGGTTTACTTACTGGTTTTCTCCAATCTGGTCAAGCAATAACGGCAGATGTCTATTGTACCGAACTCCGAACAATATTGGTAAAACTAGCAATAAAACAGCCCTGACTCATTATTCGATCTTCACCATTATTGCTCAATGACAACGCGAGACCTCAAACAGCATGAGAAACCGTTTTGACCCTTCAGGAACTGCAGTTAGAAGTCAATCGACATCCTTCGTATTTGCTAGACCTTGTTCCAAGGGACTACCATTGTTATCATGATTTGGACAATTATCTCCATGACAAGAAGTTTTCTTCCCAGGAGGCAGTACAAAATGCTTTCACGCAGTTTGTTTAAATAAATTTGATAAAAATTCAAAAATAAACAATTTTGATATTCAGTACAAATTGGCAATTTCATACTTTAACCCCTATCATTTATGTAGTTACAGTGTGATAAATCATTATTTTTGAGGCAAATTAATAATAATATACAGCCTTTCAGTATGTTTATATAATATTTTGTGTATAAAGAAACTTGAATTGTATTTTTTTAAAATTATTTTTATTATTTTTCTTAACTTTCCTACAATGCTAGACAAGATAATGTTCTCTTTGGCAAAAAACTCATCCATATTTTATACATCTAAATCAATCCATACTTTTATTCATTCTAGTGAAGTTAGTTCATATTTTTAAAGTTATATACCTTTAATAAGAAAAAATCTGTACTCTTAGGATGACTTTGTTGTCTGTCTCTCAAGAACCTTTCTTTCAAGAATGAATTCTTATATCAATTTTAAATTAAAAACATATACTTTGGTCAACAGTCATTTGAAACTATGGGAAAATAAAATTTCTAAATACATGTGAGATAAAGATATAACTAAAATTTTGTCTGCAAAAAATGCAGATTTAGACACTCAAGATAATATTTATCGTATGATAGTTATTCATACATTTCAGTAAGTTCAGTATCAGCAGTTCAGGTAGGATACAAACTGGCTCTATATAAAAAATGTATTGTATAAATTATTTATTGCTTTGTAAAACTTTTTTAACAGAGATATATTGAATATCATACTTAATGTTAGCATTATGGGCCTGGTCCATGCAAAAGGGTAATATGGAGGGTTTTGTTGGGTGGACTAACTGCACATCCCTTGCAACTGAAGAAACCCAGTTTAGTCAGCCTTTGTTCAAGTTGATAAAAAATTAAGGTCAGTTCCATTTGGTATAAGAAAAATTGTGGGTAGATAATATTTTAGTTTGTTCTCATGTCTTAAGTGTTTGTATAGTTATAAATTATACATAATTATACTTTATGGTAGAATTAGTTATAAAATTGGAAGTAAAAATTTAAATTACCACAAAATAGATATTAACCACCAAAAAATTGGTATTAAATTAACTAATTATTATAGATACCTTTATATATCTTGCGATTTATTATAGATACTAGTACAAACAGTATTCATGATATTAATCAAAAGGATCTTTTGGTGGGTAGATTTATAATCACAAAAGATAATAGTGTGTTTAGCAGCTATAGATGGTGAACTTAGGTTATTCTGTATATAAAAATAAATACAAAATGAAAAAAAATAACTAACTTGGAAATTTACACTTAGACAAAGAATGTGCACTGAAATCTAACTTAAAAAACTAAAGTAACCTGTTTTTGTGGTATTTGTGGATTATCAGACAAAAAGACTCAACAGCAAAAGTAGATTTTTACACATTTCAATAATTAAGTTAGTTACAACACAAAGGCTTTGTAGTTACTATATACGACAAAATTACAGCCACCAAACGTAAATAGAGAAGGAAGTGATTACACACCACGGTTACATCATGACCTTCCGATGAACCATTTAATTTGTATGTAATTGTGCTGTATCCGAAACAATAGTTTCCATTTTTAAAATCAATAAATACACTTACTTTAACGCATGAAATGCTCCGTAGAAGAAAGGATGTGTTGCGCTTCGCCTGATGGCCTAATTTACATACATTGCCTGTGCCTCAAATAAGACGTAATAAATGGCTAAAAACGCAGTCCATTTATCGTGGGTGACGTTTCACAGAATTTCAAATCGATTATTTATTCACACGGCTTGAATTTCAAGGAAATCACTTCCAGTTCACTAAATGTCACTGTTTCAAGATGATAATGACACTATTCAATTTTGACCCATACTGGATTTCACTGATTTTCAAGCACTTTTAAGAAAACTGAACAGCTGGTTTTGCTCAAAACTCCTTTGTATTTTTTATTTTTTATTGAAAGCAAAGCAGCTTAAAGATGTAGAAACCGATACAGATCGCAACTTTTAGTTCATAGACAATTATCTGTGGTCCTGGCATTCGGTTTAGAAATCTTTGAAGATGTTTTTATTTATGGTTATTATGTATTACTCAATGTATAATATAGGTATTACAATTCTGTCCACTTTTATATTTTATGATAGAAATAGAATATTAAATTACCATTTTATTTATAGAACAAGAAACCATTCTAACTAATAGCAATAGGATCGAATTTTACAGCCTTCTCTAAAGTAATACTACTGCTGTATTAAAAAATGTCACATTTGAACGCTCTCCTGCAGTTTTAGGATCGAAACGATAGAAATCAAAAACAGAAAAGTATGTCTTTCTAAGAGGTGGCTCATTCACGCATTGTAATCTGTTTACTTTTAAAACACTTTCCTTAAAAATTATACTGGGTGTTAGGGGAACGCTTCCGAAAACGAAAACCAGTGATAGAGTAAGTGATTCTGGATACATTGCAATGAAAAAATTATTACTTTATTTTTCAAAAAAAATATGTTATTTTTTTTTTTTTTCATTTTTAGCGATGTAAAATAAGTTAAGTATTACTATTTTTATCAATAAATTTGTCTATTTATTGATTTTCCATAAAAACGCAATGTAATTAAAACTCGAAAAAATCAGCTGATCGGCGGTAGACGACCCCGAGAGTTCAATAACCTTTGGTACGTTCAAAGGGCACTTTCATTCTTTTTCCTTCACCACTGGTAGAATGAAAAGAGACAGAAGGTACGAGTGAGAAACTTCAGCGACATCTAGCGACGAAAAGCTCTTAGTTCTCTACGTTGCTAGTTTAGGTACCCATTTTCCTTTTTTTTAATTACTAAAAGTAGCTTTAAAACGGCGTTTTAAAGATACGAAGCGAAGATACTGCAGGCCAAGCTCGTAAACTTCTAGATACATCTAGCGGCAAATCGCGGCGGTTTTGATGACATAGCGAATGAGAATGATAGATGCAGCGCCATCTAGTAGTGTAAAGCAAAATCAATCGGTAGTGTTTCCGTGTTAAGAGGTGCCACTTTTTAATGAGTAAATATCGTTTTTAAATAACCTACTAGATAAAATGCATGTTCTTCTGGAAAACATTTGTTTCGACTAAACATTTCAAAACGGTTTAGTAAATAGTATTTACAAAATTTTTATCTTTGAAAATTTTTTAAAATAAAACTTACGTTACATGATTTTGATAAGTGCACTTTTTTATTTACTTGTCTTTAAAATGTGAGCTTTATTTTAATGAGTTTTTTTTACGTTAGCGCAGAAAAGTTTAAGACAAAAATCATTTGATTTTATTCAGAGCATGTAACTAATAACGATATCTTTTAACTCGCATAGTAATTTATTTAGGTTTTATGAAACACAAAAAGATCAGATAAATACATTTCATTAAAATGAGGGGAAGGTGTTAAATCATTTTTATTTCATCAAAATCTAAATGTATAAGAAACTTCATTTCTCCAGAAGTGTGTGTGTGTGTGTGTGTCAAATCATTAAAAAAGTAAACTTTATGAAAAACTATTGGGAGTCCCAATTGAATTTTTTCCCGATTCAATTTTAGCATAATTATTTCTCTTGTTTCAATTTGAAAACTATAAAAAAGCGGAATAGTTGTTTCTCTTAAAAAATACTTACTTTGCATGACTAACCCAATAGTATAATCCTATCGGGTTATTCATGATTAAACGCGATGTTGAATTGTAAAACTTCACTTAGTACTTTTACGACAATCTTTATTTATAAATCTAAACACATAATTAATTACTATAAAAGTAGCTAAGTGAAATGAGTGGCAGCCCTAGATATCATTGCGAACCGCAGTGACCGGTGAGTGTGTTTATAAAAGATGCCGCTTCACTTTTCCGGTCCGTCCGCTTCCGGTTTCTGAGACATGCTGCCGCTACACGTGCTGCCAGCTCTAATTTTTCCCCTTAATTGGGTATTTTTTTTACGGGATAAATCCCATAAAAATTGTATGATATTAAAGAAAGGTAAGCTATCTTTTAAATATCTATCTATCTTTTTAATATTTTTGATTACATGGTATTATTAAAATATATTTTTTTTAAATTGAAGTTGATGTTATTGAAATAACACTAATCACTTTTAAAAATTTATTCGTATAAAAATAAGTTAAGAGCGTCGCAAATAAGGTTGGTTAAGTTACGTCAGCCAATGTTCCTGCCAATCGGTTAACAAAAACGGCACCCGGATAATAATTTCTCTGTCTTACTTTTATTTATTAGGATACGGTGAAAACAATTATTAATGATGTACAACATTCTTTCAAACATTTTACTTATTTTGTCATAAAAATAATTTAGTATAGCGTACACTTTCAAACAATTTTCATTTGGTTTATTTCGGTATTATTAAAAATTACTTACGATATCAGTTCTTGTAATAATTCACAATGTTAAAACATAAATTTGATCGAACACGTAATGCACAATCCATTCAATTGCAGATTTCATTTCTAAAACAATTTTGGGAATTTGGTGAAAAAAGTTGCAACACTCGAATATTCAGTAGGAAGAACCGAAGAACGAATGATCGCGGCTTCTTTGATATAAGCGAGGCATGAGGCCGACCAGTGGCAAAAAACTTTCCATCTCGGTTTGCGAATGCGTATTTTAAAGTTTATTTCGTTAAATTAGTTATCATAGTTTTTAGTTGAGCGTGTTAGGTTTATTTATTTAGTGTTTATTTTAAGTTTTATTAGACAATAAGTGCATCTCATCATGTCTAATGCGTATGTGTACAGTGCTCGTGAGTATGGAAACATGGTTATGTGTTTAGGAGAAGCACGTGGCAATGCTTCTCTAGCTTTGAGAATTTACCGGGAAAGATTTCCTAATGTGCATCATCCAGGAGACTCTCGAACCATTACTGCTGCGTTTCAACGACTGTTGGAGAATCAACCGATCGTTCCGGTGGCGGTCGGCGGTGGGCGACCAATAGACATTGCAGCCGAGGAGCGTATTCTCGATGTGATCCAACGCAACCCCCGTTTGGGCACGAGGACTGCTGCGAAGTTACTGCAGCGGCCAAATGGGCCCTCAGTTTCGCATTGGACGGTGTACAAAGTTTTGCGAAGAAACAGAATGCGGCCTTAAAAAATTCATAAAGTGCAAGCTTTGATACCCGAAGACCTACCCCGTCGTCGCACTTTCTGCCGTTGGTTGTTGGATCAACAACAGCGTCTTCCAGGATTTATTCAGCATGTTATCTGGACAGATGAATCTACATTCACAAGGAACGGCATGTGGAATAGACGAAATTCACATTTATGGTCTGAAACCAATCCACGTGCCACTCAAGAGACTGGCCACCAAACCCGATGGTCGGTCAACGTTTGGGCTGGCGTCTTCAACAATGTTATCTTTGGGCCGGTGTTTCTACCACAACGACTTGATGGAGCTGGGTATCTTAGGTTCATTAATGAGAGCCTTGATGAAATTCTTGAAGGCATATCATTAGCTGAGCTAAGAAGGGCTTGGTTTCAACACGATGACGCACCGGCGCATGTGGTACGGCCGGTACGTGAGCGTCTCACTGAACTATTTGGTGACCGTTGGATCGGGCGATTAGGACCGCAAGCCTGGCCACCACGATCTCCTGATTTGACACCTTTGGACTTTTTTTTGTGGGGGTGTGTTAAAGAAAAAGTGTTCAATAGAGTTTGTGACAGTGCTGAGGAAATGCGGGCAAGAATTGTGAGTGCATTCGAGACAATAAGAACGAGTTGTATCGAGGACTCAACTCTCATGCCTCGACTTCACGAAGAGACGCGGCGACGGGCTCGAATTTGTGTTGAGATGAATGGGGCACAATTCGAGCCACACTTAGTTAGACCGCGGAGAACATGAACAGGTAAGTAAGTTTTTGCATTAAAATAAAAATCATGATGTTAAGTTTAACTGGTTAAATTAATCGTTACTTATAATAAAATTAAAGGTTATTGTAATAAATTACTTTACGTAGTACTTACGATCGTCTCTGTGTGTGTTTGTGTGAGCTCGTTTATGCATGTGTGCAACTATCAAAAGCGCTCGCGCCGCGCGGTCGTTCACCCGTGTATTTGTACGTTTTACATTGCGTGCTTAGAAAATACGATTTCGTTAAATACTAATTATTCAAGTAAACAAATATTTTTGTAGGACTCCATTAATATGGTATAATAACCATGTTAAAGATTCGGAAGCGTTTTCCTAACACCTTGTATAATTTTTACAATATAATTTTTTCTTCCTCTTTTTACACCAATTCAAGAGATTTCATAAAATTTATCGTGTTTCAGTGTTTTGAAGTTACACATTAATTGATCCATTTTGCAACCGAGGCAAAAATTTGATATTGCGCTTTATGTTATGATGTAATTTAAGGACTTCTAAAATATCTAGTATGTACATCCTCTGTTCTGTGTATGAATTTATTTTAAAAATACTTTTGTGATACGATAGAGCCCTACTTTCAAATTATAAACATAAAAGTAGCTTTGTCTATATGCCTGTCTTTTACAATGCCACAAAACAGCGAATTCATCGCAAACCACGTCCAAGTTAGCTGCAGGCTGCGGTGTTAGTGATGAAATTGTTTTAATCCACTTGAAGCAAACTGGAAAGAATAAAAAGCTTGAAAGGTACCTCACGAATTGAGCTAAGCAAACCAAAAAAGTTACTTGTAAGCTTTTGGTGGACTAGTGCCGGTGTCCTTCATTACAGTTTTCTCAAATCTGGACAGACAATTGCGGCTGACTTCTATTGTCAGCAATTGCAAATCATGCTGGAAAAACTAGCTGTTAAACAACCGAGGCTGGTCAAAAAAATAAAAAATATTCGACTTTTTTTCCTCCCATACCAAACACCAATTTCATATGTAAGGACCTAATACTTAGGTCCTTGATAAGAAATTCCTACGTATAACTCGTATGAATTAACATGGCACCTCAGCTGTGGGCCTATTCCATTTCTCTAGAGTAAAATAAAAGCTATTATAATTTAATGAAATTCCAACTCTCAGTTTATTATTAACATTACATTAAATATTTCTGTCATTTAAATTAAAATTAAATAAGTTTTATTTACGTTTTTAGATAAATACTTCAAAATCTTTGTATAAATTATAATTTTTATCACTCCCTGGCTCTTCTAATATATCAAGTATATCGTCTTCTTTAGATAAATACAAGTTTTTTAAAATTTCCGAAGGTGAAGGAATACTTTTGTCGGTAGCTTTTAATGAACAATCAACCACTGTTTCTAAATGAATCTTTGGCGTTTCTTTGTCGTCTATAGTAAAGTTATTTCCCAATTGCATTGTAGAACAAGAAGTTTCTTTGTGATCTTTTGTGTCTTTATTATTGTCAAACGTGTCCGTTATCAAATTGAAATTTTCTGATTCCATATCTTCCAACGACAATTTAGCACCTTTCCGGACTAATTCAGCATTAGCTTCGGAAACCTCGTGATAGTTTGTTACAATGGTAGATTTTTCTCCGTTTTCTAATATAATACTATCTGACCCGACGTGCTTCTTTTTGAGTTTGTTTACGAGATCTCCAGTCTGACGAACAACTGTGCCAGGTGGCTTAGATGGACATTTATGGGTTCGCTGAGATACCTGAAATAAAAAGAATTATTTGATGATAGTTGTTTAGATGATTCGTTTTCAAAAATGATGATGAGTATTAAAATGATCGGTACCACTTTCAGAATAGAATGCACCGAAGGTAACGAAAGCTAGAACTTTGGAATTATTTGTAAACCAACATGAACCAGCGCGCACATAAGTATATGTAGGCGCCATATCGTCAGAATTGTCAATTATTTGTGAAGTGGTAAAAAAAATATTGCGTCCTCTTACTGCGGTTCTGAATTCTGATAAATATGAAATCAACATTTACTTCTATTGGCAACTTAAATGATTCGTAATATTACCAAGTTTTCATGTTTTTCTATGCCTATTTGAGGGTATCACCGACCACCTCTGAGATCCTGGATTCGATTCCCGGTCGGATTTATGTAAAAATAATAACATTCACATATTGTATTGGATTTTGTTTAAGTGTCTCTTTTATTTCAGTTTTCAAAATAAAGGTACTTTATTTACTTGGGATTTGAGCTATGTATTTGATGATGTATCCTAATATTTATTTATAATAATGATCACAATATAAAAAAAATACACTGATTACATTTTTTCCAGAATATATTAAAATACTTACTTTATATCTAAAGCTTTTTTCACATGCAGTGCATTTATAGGGCATAACACCTGTGTGAATTCTTCTATGGACTAAGTAAGACACTCTTTGGCGAAAACATTTTCCTGAAAAATTAAGCCTTCTTTGAAATATAAATTTAGGGTCGGTTAGACCGGAAGAAGACAGATTGACGCCCTTAACAATCCTAATCATAGGTGTGGGTGTGATCCACAATAAACTAGTATTGAAGTTAGGAAAAGCGAGGTAGTTCATTTTGTGACGAAAGTAATGTACATGCAGCTGCTCATGAGGTTATATTACCACAATATGTTTCTTGTGTTGTTCGATTTCCTTAATGGATTTTTATATCTACCATCAACGAATTAAGGTTTAAATCAAGTTGGAAAATTGACAGTTTTATATACCTAGCCTGACGTGCTCTTCACTGTATGAAGGTCAAAAGACATATGTGGAGTATAAAATTCACGGATAATTAAAAAACCTTAACTTTGGAATAGCAAGTTTTTGTCAAGAAATTGCTTATGGGCTAATCTGGCATTGGGGTCGGTGCATATCTGATAGAAGATACCTTGCGTTTTGTTGGTGTCATTGTATTATTATTCAACCAAGCACACTCAACGAATTTTCCGACGCCGTACTAATGCTATATGTTTATGCATATTTCTGTGATATCATCAGATTTGCACCGATCCTTTTAAATCCGAGCGATTGAATAGTTGAAAAGTTAAAGTCCAGTAAGGGGGTGGAGATCGTGTGTCTCCCACTTCTTAGATAGAGAGAAAGGGAGTTTAAAACTGTTAAAAATCATCTAATGTAATAAATGGATGACGCCATTTAACCTGTATTCCGAAACAATGAGGTAACACAAACAGCCAGATTCGAGATAATATAGAAATTTTATTTTCTACATTGACTCGAGAATCACACCCGGGAACTGACGTACGAGTCTGTCGGTCGAAGTCGTCAAATATTTAAATGTTTATGAACTACTTCCTCACCGCATGTTTCACAAGAGAAAGGTTTTTCTCCGGTATGTATACGTTGATGATTGTGTAGGGTAGACAATTCTTTAAAAGCCCTCCCGCAATAGTTGCAAATATGATTCTTCTCATCATTGTGATAGAGGAGATGTTTATGATAAGACTGTTGAAACGTAAACATCTTATTACATTGATTACAAGAATAAGGAGTTTCTCCTGAAACAAACATATTATATATGAGATTAGGCTATGCGCGCACTGGTAACATTTGGTTTGACACCGTATCTTTTGGTTTCCTATCACCGTGCTTGAGTAACTTCCATTCGTTAACTTCAATAGAAATAACAAGAGCACAGACAGAAACAATAAGTCACGATGGCAAAAAATCACTAGTTATCTTACTACAAATTAAACGTATTTTTTTACAAACTCCTTAAAATATTAGCTGTTAAGCTTGAAATCTATAGCATTTTAGAAAAATTTTGTTATGCCTCATCAGCAAATTATTCGGCAAATATGTTATTCTGTTAGTATAAATTACCTCAAAAATTAACACCAATGTTATTTAACCTGTATGAAGACGCTTATGTTTCTTGAGAAAATATTTAGTAGTGAAACTTTTTTTACATACGTCGCATTGCCATTGTTTGTTTTCGTTTCTTTGTAATATTAAAACTTGATTTTCTGTATTTTGCTCAATAATTTTCCCATTAACTCCATCTTTTTCTGATTCTGCATTTCCACTGCATCCAGAAAGAAACCCATAATGAGCTACTCTCAAATGTACCATAAGAGACCCTCTCATTTTGAAATTCTTAGGACACAAATGACATTGATAGCGTGTAAAATCTTGATGAGAATTATCGTCTATATTGTGGATCAGGCACCTGTGCATTTTCAAAATATCAGTGTTTACAAATTGTAAACCACAGACATCGCAAGTAGTATTTGTTTCAGGCAGTGTTTTTGATATGTCTGTTTGTAGAATTTTATTTTGAACATTATCTTTAGTATTTCCACATGATATATCCATAATTGGTAATGTATTTACAGATACAACTGGCAGCTTTGGGTAAATTTTCACGTACTTCACTGGGGCGGCAGCACTCGTAGAAGGTGGTTTATTTTTAGACGTAGGTCTAGGTTTTTTCTGTTGAGCTATATTAACTACTTGATTCTCCGTTACTACATTTTTGTTAATTTGTCTTGGCTGATTCTCATCACTTTGTTTGATACTTAAAATTTTAACATGACTAAACAAATGAATAGTTAACTTATCTAACCCAGAGACTTCTTCTTGACATACTGGACACAATATTTTGTTTGTGGAAACGTAAATTAATCTATCCCTCAAAGCTTGAACTGATTCGAAAACACTGCAATTTGTACATAAGGGACACGGTAAAAAAGCTGCATTTGCACTCATTTTCACGTTAGTCAAATGATTATTTTTTACGGAAACGTAGTCCGTGTCCACCGTATGCATACACGATAGCGCAAAACTAAATATGTTGACCTATTTTTAGATGACTCGCGTGTACTGTTTGGCGGCGTTTCAAGATATTTTATATCAAATCCATTCAAAATTATTTGACAACACTGTGATAAGCAATTTGTAAAAAATTATTGCTTGCTAAGCAACCTTTTGAAAGATAAGTAGTCGGGAGCAAAAGAAGTGATAATTCAAAGACATCTATTTAAAACTTGACAATTAGAAGAAATTCTGAAGAAAATATAAATATTAGACAATATATTTATTACACCAGAGGAGATTGTTTTTAAGCGATAAGGTTTTGTATTTGTAGTCCTAAAATTTTTGTATGTTTTTATAACTTTTATATATAACTAGCTTTTGCCCGCGACTTCGTCCGCGTGGTATAGTTACTTTGGGCAGCAAATATTTTCCAAAAACGCTGTTGCTTTTGAGCTGATGATGAAATTACCTTGATGTTTAAGTTCGAAGGCACTACAACAAAAAAAAAAAACTTATTATCCAATATGTTTCAGCAATATATTTTTGAAAACTTTAGAGATATTAATCCACTCCAAACCAATTTGAAATACAGATCAAAAACCGTTCTGATGTTGACACAAAACTTATTTGATCAATTTCGCATTCAATATGCTGTACTGAAATATATTCTTAATACAAAATGCAAAAAAAAAATCCACGTGCCACGTGCAAGTGAATTTTTTAAGCATTTTGTATTTCGAAGAAAACTTATTCGAAACGCAGTCTACACAAAATTCTTTGATAGAAACGTAAGCGCAGATTACTTTAGCATAAATGCCATCTAGAATAGCAAAGCTTAAATTTCTTACTACATTTTATTTTAAGACTCACTTTACACTATGTTCATTCTATACATTCATCACAAAATTCATGAAACGAAAAATTGTCTCTGGAGTTATACAATAATACGTTAAGGAGATTTTTAAAATAAATAAATCCAAATTTAGATTCCATTAAAAATATATCATTTTTCAAGTAACTTAGTTGCGTAGTGGATAAGCGCCGCGGCCAACGGTCGTTGTAGTTAACTTTCGCAAAGGTCAGTCACGGGATGGGTGACCAAAAATTAGTATCTAAAGCTACTTCGTGCTTCGGAAGGCACATAAAGCCCTGAAGCATTTGTAGTCGTTAATACCCTCCAATCTGCATTGGGCCAGCGTGGAAGGCCATGGACCATCCTCCTTACCACCATCTATAATGAAGGCCTGACGGATCCCTTGCAGTAGGGAGTTAAAAGGGCTGATGATGAAATAATATTTCTATATACAGTTCAACATATATATTTTTCAATGAACGCCTTATTACATTACATATATATGTCGTGACCATATCTGAGAATTGATGATTTGATGCGATTTAGAATATACTCGCCATCAGCTGGCTGAAATTTTGTAGGCAAAAAAAACTCAGACTGAGAATTAATTTAACGCCATTTCGAAAACTATTATTAAAGTATGTCGTGTTCAAGATGAACAATATTTCTCACTTTTTCAAAAATTAAATCAGGTTTTATTTTTCGAATAATTTTTTTTTATGAATAATATATGACACTGAAAATATTCAATATCTATATAAAAAATATGGCAACGTAGTGAAAGTTCTAAGAAAGGAGATTTTGTTTATTTATTTGCTCAACATAATATTATTTTTCCATATATATTTTCATATACATCTATAGAAATATTATAACATTCTTTCATCTACTGGAAACTACATACGCGTGGAACATAGCCAATAATTTATAAACAAAAAATAGTTTGATTGAAATTGGTTCACAAATTAATAAGAAATCGATGAACATAAGTACAATAAAAAATAAATACCCGCTAAAAATAGAAATTCCTCCTTTCTGAATTTTTATTTATTCACTGATATAATTTGGTGTAATTTGATAAAAAACATATTAATATCTCTCGTCGCTAATCATAATGTCTATTGCTTGCCCAAATGAATGAATGATAACTCTTTATTGCACTAAAACAAACTCATAAAACAAATAGAAATATACATGCAAAAGGCGGCCTTATTGCTAAGATAGTAATTTCTACCTTTTGCTAAAGAAATTCATACCAACTAAGAAAAAACTGCGGGCTAATGTATTACAAATAAATAAAAATAAAACTTAACCAGAAAGAAGAATATTTATTTATTTATTTACTATTTATTGCTTACAATAAAACACAAATAGCAGACTTAATGCCTAGGGCATTCTCTATCAGTCAACATGAGCGAAAGTTGGATTTGCATGTTAGGCGTTAAGAATAAAATAAACTGCTAAATGATCGTGAATATAAAAGTAACTTCTAAATAATTACATAAATACAAAATTACATAATATACCTACAAACAAATAATTTACAGAATGCGAACTATACAATTATAGTCCGAGAAAGTGCTCGCACACCAATTTCTTGAATATCACCTTACTCTGAGCATTCCTAATGCCAAATGGAAGCAAACCAAAGGCTGTGAGGATAAAGGATTTAGAAATAAATGCAGTATGATGAAAGGGGGTTTGAAGAATGAGGTTGATACTAGAGCGAAGATAACGTTGATGACTGGAACCAAGATAAAGAAACCTAGATTTCAAATAATAAATTTCAAATGGGATACATGGATCGAATAAAATATTATAAAGCATACAGACAATTCGTAGGTTTCTGATATGCAATTCCAATCAATAACTGCCAATAACAATACTTAGATCTATTTACAGTCACATCGTAACAGTTGGACCACACCAAAATAGTATTGATATCCTGATTAAGGCTCAAAATAGCATCGTTGATGTTGCTTTTGTCTGATTGAGCATATATCTGAAGATCGTCTGCATAATGAATATATAAATATTACACAAAATCATATACATTGTTCAGATTCCAAGATAAGTAGTCAAAGTCCCCGTATTATGGAGTATCTGAGACAACGAAAGTAACACAACACCCAGACCCGACACAATATAGAAAAGTTCATTTTCTACGTTGACCCGACCGGGGATCGAACCCGGGACCTCAGAGATACCTTGAAACCGGCGTGCGAACCACTCGGCTACGGAGGTCGTCGCATATAGATGATAAGATGAGCGAAGACGAGTGAGTTAATAAATAATGTGAAAAGAAGTGAAGATAATATGCCGCCCTGTGGAACACCGGCAGATAAGTCACGCCAATCAGAAGTTCTATGATTGATCCGGACAGCTTGCCGGCGCTCCCGAAGATATGACGAAAATCATGCCAGAGCTGAGGAAGAAAGTCTGATTTGCGCGAGGATAGCAAGAAGGATATCATGGTTAACTGAGTTGAAGGCATTAGAGAAATCGATCAATACCATAACAGTTAGTTGCGATTGTTCCATGCCGATATAAATAAATAAATCAATATCTGTTAATATTGATTTATTTATTTATACAGGCACACAAAACAGATTACTGACATAAAAATTAAATATATATTTGTCAATATAATTAGGTCTGGACTACAATCAAGACCTATGCATACACAACATGGTAATAATAGTTGTCTCATAAATTAATTAAAAATGTTTACACATATTTTACAAACTATAGAAAAGAAAAAGTAAAGAAAATTTGTTTTAACTTCGATAAGATCCTATTTTATTTATTGTTTTATTCACAGATTATTCCTTATTTAGGTAGGTCTCGTTTCTTTTAAATTTTACAAAGTGAAAAATATCAATATCTTTGTCAAGCACAGCGATTTCGTTATATCAGCGACACATTCGAACAAGTGGATTGTAGAAGGAATTGTTTGTGCACCCTCAAGGAAAACACTGAGTGACTTAATCTAAATTTAGTTTTGAAATTAAGATGTGATGACAAGGTTGGCGAATTAATGTCAGAATGTAATAATAAGATATTCAGAAGAGCTGTAGTTGTACTACGTCCGGGTCGAAACCCGGATTGAAATGGACTCAAAAGCTGCATATAAAATCAAAGTTGCCTATGGACATTTCCTCTTGGAGAGGAAAGTTATGGCAATAGGACGAAAGTGATTCGGAGTAGAAGGATTAGAAACTTTAGGTAAAGGAATATTGAAATATTTTTGCTAAATGGAAGGAAATTTGCCAATTGTAAGAACCGGAAGAATATAGTTTAGGATGAGTACGATCATTTTTCTACCAATGTTATCACTACCAGTTACCACTACAGCTTTAGATTTGATGGATCAAATTACCTTACGGACAATTTCTTCTAACAAATGACTAAAAAAATAGTTAAGAACTAGAGGGTGCCATGGACGTCACAGAAGGGTGGATTAATTAATGAATTCAGAAGTCGGGGTTCCAGCTGATAAATGTTTGTTTAGTTCGTCCGACGAGCATGAGGAACTACACCGAGAAGCCGTTTTACCAAAGCCGAAGAACGAAGAAACTTCCATGCATCGGCAAGTTTAAAATTTAAAATGTTCTAATGAATATATTGGCATTTAGCTGCTCTTACCAACCCATTGCAGCAATTTCTAGCAGAAGAAAATAAACTCGTTTGTTACTCATTTCATAAAAGATAAACGAGATTGCGTGCGTCTAATATCATCCAATATAGAACAAGCAAAGAGTACCACAATTTAATAGCTCTGACAAAAATGACTTGGTAACAAAATCCGTATATATAGAAGACAAAGATGTAACTACAAAGACCGTAGATCTCGGATAGGATAGGATAGGATTATTTAGTTCAAGAGCTATGTACAATTTCTTCGATGAGCTATGTAGGTAGGTGAACGCCAGTTCCAGCTCCATGAGTGCATACTGCAACCTATCAAACATTATTTACATATCACAGTGTCGAATAAATGTGATGATATAGATCAAGAGATTGAATCATATAATGACAACGGTTACTATGAAAATCAAATGAATAAAAATTAAATGGTGTAGTGCGGTTTCTTAGGATGATACGTTAGAACATTTTGGGACGTTACCTGTTACTTTACCTTAATATTTACATTTATCATTAATAAAGTATTTGTTATTTTTCTAAAAACCGTTTTTATTACAGAACATCTCTATTTAAAAAAAATATATTTCTCTCTTTCACGTTCTCATTGCCTCTTTCTTTTTCAAACGTCAACTCAGCTGATTTAATAGAATAATAATTCCCAAACTAAGTTACCAACCAAACATTTCCCAAAACTTTATTCTTTGATTTGTTTATGATTATTTGCAAAGTTGCAATGTCTTTTGTCACTTTGAAATGTTTAATTTTGCATTTTTGAATTATGGCGGCTAATATGTTTATGTTTATTTTATAATTATTGATCAAACATTTGATGAACGTTTTTCGTTTATACCATTTTGAAACACTTCAATCAGTTTATTGAGTTTAGAAATTAATTTCAAAAATGGGTGAACAGGCGGCTGTGCCTCGATATATGGCTCAGCTTTTAGAAGAGCTGGGCTGGAATCAAGGGACTAGAATACCACTGGCTAATCCAGATAATCAAGTTCTAGAAACTGTATTGATATCGAGGTATGAAAATTCTTCAACACAGCATTTAACAAATACCATTCTATCCTATGAAGTTTTATGACCAAAATTTAACAATTTTTATTTATATTTTGCAGGCAGAATGAAATACAGCGTCTTAAGGAGGCTCTGCTACTACAAAACCAAAAAAGAGATGACCTTAATAAATACAAGCATCATGTTCACACTGAATATCAAGAAAATACTGTAATTAGATTATTTTGTAGATTCTTCAAAATTTCTTGAATAATGTTTATGATATTAACTATATATTCATTTTGCTTTAGCGACTCCTGTTTGCACATAAACAGCAGATGGAGCAAGAGGTGAAGCTCCGACAACTGTCTTTCAGTGAGGCTGAGAGCCTTGATCGAGATACTGTTGATTGTGCCAAGCAGAGCAGAGATATTAACACTCGGATTGATAGATTACAGAGTAAATTTAATTTGTCATTTGTTGATATTTATTGAAAACTAGCAACTTTCCCATTTCTGCAGGCTAAAAATAAAATCATAAATAGCCTGTATTTATGATTTTATTTTAACCTGTAACTTACCCAGTTAGAAAGTTGTCGATCAGGTTAGTCCACCACTGAATAGTCCCAAAATACAGGATTTCTATCCAGGATAAATAATAATCCAAGTTATTTTAATATGCTTCTTTTATTTATATTTTTTTGCAGCCCAAGGTGCATGTTTTTGTTCTATTTTTTGGATATGACACATAAATTAATACAATTGATTATTATTATTATGATTATTGAATTGGCTTTTTTAAATTTATGCATAAAATATGGGTTGTCCCATGAAAAACGGGATATCTGTCAATACTTTGTGTGATGTTACATCACATAGCTGTAAGATTTCTTTCAAATTGATTCAGTTGTTTTGGAACTCATTTAAATAGAAACAAACAATCCATTTCCTTTTTATAATATTATATTAAACTCGCCAGCTGGCCCAGATTTCTTGTATCTTAAAAGCATATTAGTGTTTCAATCACTTATTCAAATCATAGATAGCACCAATAAAATTGTTTTTATGTTATACTAGTTTTTGCCCGCGACTTCGTCCGCGTGGTAAAGTTACTTTGAGCAGCATTTCTAATGAATATTTATTAATTTTATCGTGTAAAATACCTGAAATAAAGTTTCATCCCCTGTTTTAGCTCCTTAGGGGTAGAATGTATCAAAATCCTTTCTTAGGGATGCCTAAGTCATAGTAGTTTTATGCATGCAAAGTCTCAGCCCGATCGGTTTCAAATTGACAAAGTTTCATACAAACTTTCATCCTCTATTTTATCCCCTTGGGAGTAGAATTTATCAAAATCGTTGTCATAACATCTACCTGCATGCCAAATTTCAGTCCGATCCGTCCAGTGGTTTGAGCAGTGCGTTGATAGATCACTATGTCAGTCAGTCACATTTGAGTTATATATATTTAGATATAATAGTCAAAATCAATTAATGGTCAATTAGAGTCCACAATAGTATGGACTTGAGATTAAATAGATTTTCATTTAATTGACACAACTTGCTTGGAAGTGGAAATGATTCATCATAGTTCAAATTTCTACTAACTGCGTGCATTTAAATTGTAAAGAGTTTGTAAGATGCTTTAAATTCACCAGTTCCAGGTGGGATTCTAGATGGAATTTGAAGCTATAATCTTTAGCAATCGGGCGACTTCTGCTATGGTAATGAGTTCTAATCCTATCTTGGGCATCTTGGAGTGGTCAATTTTTTTTCGCATTTTCTTTAAGATGAATATCGATATAGTATGGTAAATGCAAAATTAGTCAAATTTAAATAATGAGTTGTTAAAAATTAAAATAATAAATGAAAATTTATTAATCAGATTGTGTTATGTTTCAGCTAATATTGCTCGTTTACTGAAGAAAGCTGATTCCTTGAAGACTGAAGTGTGTGGTGAAAGAGGTGCACTCCAGGAATGGCGGGCGGCATTGGAGAGAAGCGCTGGTGACATCACTGCTATAGAGCAGTTTACTAAACAGGACCTCTCTAAAGCCAAAGTAAGCCACGAATCTTCATTGTCCAAAAATTACTACATTTATAATCAGTATTGTTTTAATGACTATAGGGTGTACAATATAAGCAATAGGTTATCTTCTCGGTAACAATCGGCGGGGGTCAGGCTGGACGGTGCACTATTTGAATAATTCTTAGTGGCCAGGGTTTATCATGCTTTACTTTAGTGTTTGGATCCAGAGCTGTCCTTGCCGGATTTTTGAGCTTTCCTCCAAATGACGGTACTCTAATGGAGGGATCAGCAGTAGTTCTGGATGGCGCAATAAAATACTTACAGAAAGAAAAGTTTATCAACCAGCAAAACACTATACGCGAATTCGAATACGGAAAAAGTACTAATTCAAAATATTAACGGCCTGCATTGACCATAAATCGTCCGGAGAGTAGGTAAACCTATTTTCTGATCGTGCGTTTGGAGACCTCCAGATAACAAGAGGTTTTATCAACGTTACGTGACAGTCCGCTTCGCCAAAAATTTGCCAAATAACTATACCTATATGTAGTTTATAATCACAGTTATAGCAATGGACTTATGCGAGTTGACTGCTGATTCTATTAAATAGACGGGCGGTGAGGCTCCATGGCAAGATAATTTTATTACCCCTTTCATTAACATCCGTCGAGTCGTTTTCCTCTGTAAACGTGATAAAATATCCAAAATAAAGCTTCATTTAAACTTACTACATAATTAGGTATCTTTATAATTGTCATTAGAATAAACTCCTAATTAACTTATATATTCATCAGGCATTAGAAACTAAGAGGCAGAAGTTGAAACTAGAACATGACCGCATGCATGAACGCCTCAATCAACTTATATCAAACCTCAGTGCCGAAGAAAGGGCATGTGAAAGGATCTCTGTGCAGGTAACCACTAATTTATCATTCTATTTACTTCAAAATATATTCCATTAAATTTACATTTTTTGATAATAATAAATATTTCTTATTTATAAGAGAAAATTATAAATAGGTAAGCAGAACAAAATATACTATGGTATTTTGAATATACTATTGTAGGTAACTAAGCATGTTAATACAAATGATATTGTTCAAGCAAAATGTTTTTTCATTATTTACAATAGGTGATGGAGGGTATGGAGCAAAGAAAACAGATGATGGCCATGTGGACTAATGCCGTAGAAAATCTTAGGCAGAGAGACACTGACATTAGGCATATTCGCGAGGTAATCATCAAGATATTTATTTTATTTATATGTTAATATTAAATTTCTTCCATATTGATTAATTTAATTTTTCATATTTATATCAGGATTATGCTGTGTTGGAAGCGGAAGCTAACAACATCGCGGAACAATGTCGGGAACAGCAAACCTTCTGCGACCAACAGCACGGCAACAATTTAGAAGTGGAGCATGAAATAATGGTGATGTCGCAACGTCTCAGCAATACAAGAATGGCCTTCCAGCAACTTCTTGATCAGAATGCCACTCTCGACAGCGACGTGAGTGTGTTATATATCTTGTTGTTGTGTGCGTTATTCATTAGTAGTAGTTTGGCAATGATTATGGCAATTTCCAAAAAACGAAAAGTGGTGGGGACGCTTGCTCGAGGCACTTACTGATAAGATTTATGAAGCTTATTCTTGTTTAACTATAACCTATAGTTAAAAAAATAACATGCTTCACAAATCTTTTCATACACATTATAGGCTACGACGGGACTAACATGCTTCAAAATCCCTAAATGAAACAAGAAATATTGCAAAAATATATAACGGCGGGTAATCCGAAGGTGCTATTACGAAGTCCAAATAGATCGCCCATATCAGGGGACTATCTTTAAAATAACACTGCAGACGTGGTATACCAACGTGGTTTTGTTCCATTTATCACTTTTCATACGAAAATATAACGAGATGAGCGTGATGTCATCGGATGTCTTTGCTCCTCGGCGATCGGAAACAGAATGTGTCAAAAATGGCGGCAACTTGATTTTTATAAACGAACTGTCAAAGTCACTGTCACCATTCTAATAAAAGTAAAAGTATCGATGATCACGCTCTCTTTACAATCGAGTAATTAAGTAATCGAGTAACTAGCAATTAAAATAAAAGAAACTAAATCAAACGATCTTCGTAATGATGATGCGACATATAAAATCAGGCCTCATGGAAATATATATAGGGGGAAAGTGGTGGTATTGGAGGGCACCATATGGTTAAAATAGATTCAGGGGCGCAAATAGGGGTATAAAAAATTATTTATTTATTTTTAGATATACATGAAATATATGTAAAAAATATTTAAAAAAAAGTATCATTCATAAACTAAGTTAAAATCTAAAATAAATTAAATTGTTTAAATCTCCCGCGTAAACCCTGCGCCCGCGCTATATATGGTATACATGGTGACCTTTTGAGATGGCTGGAATCATATTTATCTAATAGAAGTCAACTTGTTGCAATAAAGGGACATCTTTCGGCTCCTCTCATTATTCATTCTGGCGTACCACAGGGCTCACATCTTGGTCCGCTTTTATTCATGGTCTTTGTTGACGATCTTATACAGAAGTTATCATGCCACTGTCTACTGTATGCGGATGACTTGAAGGTCTATGCGATTGTGGACAACGAAACTGATGCTAAAGTGCTGCAACAAGACCTGAATACGATCGTCAAATCGTGTGACAAAAATTATATGGTTATAAACATAGATAAGTGCTTTGTCGTTTCTTTTACTCGAAAAATTAAGAGATTGAATTATGATTATAAGATTAATAATCAATCACTGAATCGTGAGAGTAAAGTAAGAGATCTAGGAGTTATTTTTGATGAAAAATTAACTTTTCATGCTCACTATGAAAGTATTGTTAATAAAGCGGCACAGATTCTAGGATTTGTATCTCGCTTCACTAAAGGTTTTAGACGTCCAGAAAGTCTTGTTTATTTATAAAATGCTCTTGTCAGGAGCATTCTTGAATATTGCAGTTTGGTTTGGAATCCGATTTACAAGGTTCACTGTGATCGAATTGAGAAGATACAAAAGAAATTCACGAGGTTGCTATGTTTTCGGTATGGGTCAAAAAGGACGCTTGTATCTTACCAAGATAGACTAAAAAAATTTGGTCTCACGAGTCTTGAGAGTCGCCGCAAGTGTAATGACTTACTATGTTTGCACAAACTATTACACTCTGATATTGATTCGCCAACCTTGTTATCACATCTTAATTTCAAAACTAAATTTAGATCTCGCGATGTAAGTCACTCGGTGTTCTCCTTGAGGGTATGCACAAATAATTCCTCCTATTTCAATCCACTTGTTCGAATGTGTCGCTGTTATAACGAAATCGCTGTGCTTGACAAAGATATCGATATTTTTCACTTTTCATTTGTGAAATTTAAAAGAAGCGTAAGAGAGCTTTGCACCTAAATAAGGAATAAAACAATAAATAAAATAGGGACTTATCAATGTTAAAACGAATTTTCTTTTCTTTTCTATAGTTTGTAAAATATATTAAAACATTTTTTTTTATAAATTTTATGAGACAATTATTATTACCATGTTGTGTACGCATAGTTCTAGATTGTAGTCCAGACCCAATTATTTTGTCGAATATGTATTTACTTTTTATGACTGTAATCTGTTTTGTGTGCCTGTATAAATAAATAAACGCCACCTATGTCATGGCGTCGCCATGACGTCACGGCCCTATCAAACTAATATCGTTCTATGTATGTCTTCGATCAACATTACAACTAGATGTCTAGTCAGTCTCAAAGATGACCGAAGACATTAAAATTTAAAAAAAATGCGGTCTTATTTTGATTTAGTTTGTTTGCGACGGCCGGCGCCAACGTTCTGACATATTACGATGTCACAGTGTGTATTAAAAACGCAATTAAAAATGTTGGAATATAATATTTACGGGCTGTAATTGTTTTGTTTCTGACCCGAGTCACGCGCCAACATGGCAATCATTCAAAAATAGAAGGCCAAATATTCGATGTTCTAAGACAGCACATACATGGACTAGTGTACTATTACAATTATTTTTTACCAAAAAATTTCACAATATTTTATAACCATCTCGGTGTAGTGGTTCGTGTTCTCGATTACAAAGCCGCTTGCATGAACATATAGGTTTGCATCGTTCTGGGTGTTTTATATGTATTTCGAGTATCCATTCCTAACAAAACAATTTGAAACAAATGATGCGTTTTCTGAAAATTACTTAAATCGGTGATTGAATGTTAATTAATAGTTTTTAATACAGATGAAGGTTGGAATATACCATCGACTTTGGATCCAATAATTAGTCAAATAAAATCTTAACCGCAAAAACCCCGCAAAACCTAAACTGAAATGTGTGTAGGCATAATTTATGTGCTACAGGCAATTATGGAAAGTGTAATAAGGAATTTACTCCGTACAAGTGGAGGAAAATTTATAGTAGGGGAGCCGAAGCGGGGATTTCGGGATTTACTAAAGCGCGGCAGATTAATATACAGGGGGATACCTTGTACCCAGTTAAGTACCTGGACCAAGTATGAGCCCTATAAAAATGGCCGCCCGGCAAGGACGAAGGATCAGATTAGTAAAAAAAAATTGATCATCTGAATATCTCGAGCGCGTCAGATTAAGGTAAGGTGAGCTAGTTACATGCTAAAAGGTGTACATACCTCTAATCTGACAATTTGAGAGTGACGTAAAGAAGGGGGAAGGCTACAAAGTTGTAAAAAAAAAGTCACTTTGACATTCTCGAGCGTGGCTATTTTTTTTTTATTTTGAAGGGAATCATTACGAAAAATATATAATCTGACGATTGTCACAAGCCGAAGTAATAAAAATTCATCGATAAGATTTAATGCGTTTAAGCTACGTGATACCTATATTTCCTTCTCCGCATCACTATTTCTCTCTCTTTTTCTGTCTATTACTCTCTCATTCCATCCCCACTCTGGTTTCGGTTGCCATGACGCCATGACAGCTGATGATACAGGCTCGTTCGTGGCGTGATATTGTTTACATCGTATTTCCAACGTTTTTGCTTATTTTGTTATTTTAATGTAAATTTTGTGAATTAAACTTTTTACATATTTATTAAGAGAAGAAGAGGAAGATGATTCTAGCGATGAAGATGATAATTAATAAAAAATACTGTAAAAATTAAATTTTCATATAATCATTTTCTTATAAATATAAGTATTTTACATAAAAAAACATACACTTTTTTATTTGCATGCTATTTCCGGTGCTTTTCTATTTAATTAAGCTCAGTGATTTGAAAAAATAAAAAAAAAATTTTTTTTGTGTCAGTTTAAGTAAATCCCTTCAGATAATCGTCAGATTATGAGATATCACGTCTGGGGCATAAAGATGAACCATATATATCTTAATCTGACTCGCTTGAGTATTTCAAAATGGCGATTTTTTTTGCACATTCTAATAATGGTCACGCGTTTGCGTCATACCAAATCGTCAGATTATTATATGAGAGCTTTATTTTTAGGTTCACTTGACATCCCCTCAAAAAATCTGACGCGCTCGATTAAATATATTTTTATTTTCATTTTCAACCCTTACGTATAACCACCCCCATCATGGAAACGATCAGATTAACATACGACAGTTTTTAAAAATGCGTAGGACATGGATGATATTAATATCTGACGCGCTCGAGTATGTCCATACAACAGTTTTTTTTTTTTACATTTTTAAAAATCTATAGCCGCTTCCCCCACCGATGAAAAGGTATATATTATATGAATTTTTTTTTGTTATCATCTAAGCTTCGCAACCCAATAGGTCTCTATGACGCTCGAGTAAATCCCGATTTAGCATCGTGGGCTCCCCTACTATTATTAAAAAGATGTATGATAAAAAAATAATTTCTATAGCATTATTAAAGTCATACATTAACAAAGTTGCGTTCCCTGAAAGTAACGATTTAAACCATAAAACATAATTACTTAATTTAGTAATTGTATGTTTTGTTGACAAATAAGAAACTGCTGAAGTTAAAAATAAGTCCAAGAGACTTTACAATAAACCCAACATATTTATAGGTAATTAATATTACTATTTTTAATTTAAATTACATGTTGTTTTAGAATTATTGTTATTAATAATCCTTAGATAGTGAGAAAACGACTACTACTTTATCAATAGTGCTGAAAGATTATTTCACTTTAAATTGCCTCTTTAACATTTTTTAACATAAAAGTCTTAAATTATAATGTGTGCAACCCTTGTTGTGCAACCAATCCCTCAATTATCGACATATATAATTACACGTATATTTTACTAAGAAAAATAAAATTGATAATGCGACTCCATACTTACCCAGTTCCGGAGATCACAGAATATACTCTGTCGTATTATGTTCCTTGGTCGTCGCTTAGTCTATGGTTTGGTGCCGTATTTGAGTGTTGGTTTGGTATGGGAGGCGTTATCTAGTTTTATTGTTGACCGAAGATGTATGAATAAGGTTGATTTCTCTAAGTTCTGATATGAGTAAAAGAAGCGTGAGGTCACGCGTTGCTTGCGGTCACGTGACAACAAGTATAAAATATTATTTTTTTCATAATTAATTTAAGCAATGTTATAAATATGATAAGCATAAAAGTGTGATTATCGGTAATACATAGTATATTAAACACTACGAGAAAAAAAATAATTTTGTTTTCTGTCTGCACCTTTATTGTTAAGCCATGACATTCTTTCTCCTGCTCACACTTCACTTGCATAGGATCTTTCCTTGGATGAATAATTGTAAAAACTCGACAACAAATTATATATCTTTATATTCTATCTAATATATAGTTTATTGGCAAAATCTTTTTTCATTGACAATTCTGGGGCTTGCACGCCCTTAATGATAATTTGCCAATGTGAAGCGATAGTTCCTCGCCTTCATCGCTCGGCCTCAATGGCGCGGTGGTAGCGTTCCTACTGTTGTGCCGAGAGTCGCGGGTTCGATCCCTACCCAGGACAATCATTTTTGTGATTAACAATTACGTCCTGTGTCTGGGTGTTTTCTATTTATATTATGTATACATTTGTATTCCCCCGTTGTTTCCGATATCCGTAACAAAAGTGCCTAAGCTACTTACCTCGGAATCGGATCAATGTGTGTGATGTTGTCCGATATTTATTTATTTATCTCTCATCATTAATTGGGTTCTTTAATATTTCTCCTTTATTATTTTTTTTTGCAGATGCACTGTTTTCAACGCGAGCTCGCCAATATGCGGAATGTCCTTGAAAAGTTGCATATGGAGAATCGTCACATAATGGAGGAGCAACACCGTAAAGATGATACCCTCGCCAAAATTAACGGAAAGGTACTTTATATCAATTCAAAACAAAGGTTTGTACCTTGTGTCTTGTGTTGCAAGGAATAAATTCGTAACTTTATTATGCAACCAAATTGGATTTCTTTATTTTTAACATAGGTTTATTTTTTTTTTTAAATTATGCTTTCAGATTTGGGAACTCAAAGAGAAGTTGACAGACTCCTTAGACAAATCTAAGTCCTCTGAAAAAAGGGCTAAGGAACTTGAAGATATATTGAATGTGAGTTGTTGCTTTGCAAATATATCCTTTGAGAGTATATTATTAAAGTTAAAAATTAACCTACGTATGTGCATATCATTATTAAACTCCGTAATTATTAAACTGAAATTAATCAAACGCATTTCTCTGTAATTTGGTCTAACAGTTTTTATCTGAATTATTTGTCTTTATTTTTATTGCAAATTAAATGATTATTAAACAATAAATATTTATTTACTATTTGCGACTGCGATACTTGCTATACTGCACTGCGATACTTCAGCAACTTTCACATGGCCCGGTCATAGAATGGGTGACCGAAAATTTCTTATTGGAAGTAACGTTAACGCCCCGGCTCCATCAGCAGTCGTCATCACCCACTAATCCGTAATTATCTCGCGTGGGCACGGCCCACTCTCCCTATAAGATTTGATTCAATGCTACCTACATATAGGGAACGCCTGAGCCCCAGCAGTGGGGACCTTAATAGGCTGGTGATCATGATGATGATTATATAAAAAAAGTAATGCATGTCAGGAGGAAGAACGCTATGCGAGCCAGCTAACAGTGAATCAACAGAGGGCGATGCATTGTTCGTTCGTAGAGCAACAGAAGCTCCTCGCGCTCAAGAATGAGGAAAAACTTTTCCATATGCAACTAAAGGGTATAATTTCGACTTAATGTCGATGTAGTAAAGTCGTTAATGTAACATTGCAGTTGTTCACAGTATCGAGTTAGTTTGCTCCACGCACTCGCTTTGTGTTACTCGCGTTTATTATATTAGAATATATCTATTTATAATATAACATGTTGCCCCCATGTTGGTTTTGTTATGTTCATATAGGTACAGCACTTATTACTATATATATTTATTAATAATAATATATCTAGATATGATATTATTACAATGAAATCTCGTAAGTTGGTATATGTATAGTATAGAATAATACAGACAACAGCACGCCAGGTTATTATAAAAATTAAAATCTCCATAACTGATTTTATATCTTAGTCTGTTTGATTGTTGCTGATGTATGTAAATTTTATCGAATGAACGAAATAAATATGTACTTTATGCTATTTACTTTTATTATTTTAAATAACAAAATCTAAACTTAATTTATTAAGATTTAAAATTGAGTGGATAAATTTAACAGATTAATATAACCTGACCTGCTGTTACTTGTAGAAAGATATTTTATATATATATCCAGTGATCCGATATGGTAATAATAGTTTTCAATTCAGTTTGCAAAATAGGAATTATGAATGCAATTTTCTGTTACAGCTTCCAAAGCCGTCATGAGTAAATTGGACACGAAACAACGGAACATTGAGAAGAATCTGCAAAGTCAGAAGGAGAGTCTTTACTCTGTAGTAAGTTGTTTGGGTTTGCTTTTTATTTAGACAAGAAAAGGTTTGTGAAGAAAATGGACGTGACTTTCGTTGTCGCGTGCAAAATATAATAAGTTCCAATAGTATCTGCTTGTAGTGGAAGAAGTTGTTACCAACCTTTTTTAGCTATCACTTGCATTACAGAAAATTCCAACTAATACTTGACTTGAAGGTTCTTCGTTTGCGTAGAGAAGACCTACCGATATCGACGATATCCGGATGTACGATTAAAATTTAATAATCGAAAGGTGTAAAGTACAATGCATTAGGTTGTGCTAATGAAAATGTTATTATCACTATTTGTTTCGTAGCTAAGCCTCATAGGGGGCCGGCCATTAATCACGTGATGTTTTTTCATATTTTTTAACCCTCCTCTTTCGAGCCTCGCGTGATTAATGGACTGCCCCTAGGTGGTTGTAATTCACCGAACACTATTGCTATTTAATCCATCCTCAACGTTTTTTTATATCTGAAACAAGGTACGACAACATCCAGACCATTACCATGCGATCTACCACTGCTACATAGATACGTACCTGTATTAGGATCGTAAGAGACGGTGAAGATACTATAACATGATATGTTAAGTTAAAATATCGCTCGCCATACAGTCTAATGGTCCAACACACACTGCTTATAATTTATTCATATTCAGTGCTATTAATAACCAAGGTTTAGCGTCAGAGTAAATATACGCTAAAATTGCAATTTTACTATTAGTCCAAATTGATATTATACAGAGAATAAGCAAAACTTATTAAAATGTCAAGCGATACGGAAATATATTTATAAAGGGTTTCAAAATATTATCGTATCTTAACCGTGTTTGATAGCTTAAAATGTTAAAATATTTTATGTTAAGATGAAATATAGCATCTGAAACATCTGTTACGAGTTCAACATGTTAATATTTTGTGGTGTGTAGTGTTACCAAGTGGAGACAATTGGAGCTCGCGTCGCTCATATGGAGGGGGCGCAGGCAGAACGCGAGTGCTCAGCAGAACTTGTCGAGAGGGAAAACAGGTGACCGAAACTAATTTTCATATTTTTAGGATTCAACAAAGGGTAAAACAAAGACGTAGCTATTCGTCTATCACCAGGTTCTATCTCATGAACCGTGAATGTTAGACGTTTGAAATTTTGCACAGACGATGTGTTTTTTTTTTTTTTGCTAGATATCGATAAAAACTACAAGTAGACGCTGGAAATATTTACAGAATATATATTTATATAGATAGATAGATAACACTTTATTATGTACACCAAAAAACTAAACATAAATAGTAAATTAAAATAATTTTAATTTTAATTAAAATTAAACAAATATTTAAGGGGCGGCTTCCATACAATAAACGTATTTTTTTTTGCTTGTTTCCGGTACGGAACCCTTCGTGCACGTGTCCGACTCGCACGTGACCGTTTTTATCTTATTGATTCGATGTAGGACTTCCAATACCAAAATCTCGGTATTGCGGTATCTTTTTTTCAACTTCCGTGTTGCAGTATTACTTGCGCGGGATTTGCTGGACTGGAAAGAAATATGTACACGACCTCTCGCGAGTGCTATCGCTCGGTGACTGGCAGCGCTGTTGACCAAACTAAATAATTAAAGTCATTATTACTCTTGTCAACATTTAGTTGAAAATGTTTTTGGTTTATAGTTTAATTTAGTAGCAACATATTTTCTATTTATGTTAGTTTTCAGTAACAAATAAATGGTCTAATTTGGTTGATCTCGTGCTAATAATAAAACTCAAATACCTAGATGTGATGTTTGTTGATTAATTATTTATTTTATTTGCCTTATATAAATAGTGATATTTTTTAAGCCAGATTCCGCAAATACCGAGATCCCGCGGCATTAAAAATTCTTAGTCCTGTAAATACTGAGATTGAGTACAGGCTCCGGAATTGTAAGCCCTAATTTGGGGAGTCGATACATGTAAAGATGTGATCTGATCGACTTCTACCATCTCATTTAATTCAGCGTTAGTCACCTATGTGGGCGGTCATCCTCGTGGTTCATTATTCAATTCGAGGTTTCCATTGCGAAAGCGTTTAGACCAAAAACGCATGGTGCGTTAATAAGTCTTTTCAAACACAGCGTTGATGTTGTGAGCCGTTTCTGCCGCGTTAGTGATTATAAGGGCTTCGCCCGCGTGCTCCCTAGAGAACTGTTTATTTAGATATCGATTCGATAGCAACTTTTTAATTCCCTATACAAACTTCCACTCCCATTTTCATCCCTATATTTGCTGATTTTCGGAATAAAACATGGCCACCGCATATGATGTAGCTTCCCGTAGGTGAAAGAATTTTTTAAATCGTTTCAGAGTTTATTCATTGCAAATAAAGAATAAAATCTTTATAATATTAGTATAGATGAGCAAATTTCTAAATAAATGTATTAGAAAATTGCAAATATTTTTCTCCCAATTGATTTCTATTTTATGTGTTTATAGATTGAAGGACGTGTGTGCCCGCCACGCAGCACGTGTGGCACTCCTGGAACGACATTCTGCTAAACTACACGACGATATGAGACGTCTGGCGCGCGACCTGGAAACGAAGAACGCTGAAAACATTAAACTTGTACGTAAACTGTGTTAACCACGACTAGTGTTGTCAGATATCTCGTATTTCAGGCATAAATTCAAATTTCCCCAAGTGACCAACTCTGTCCCGTATATCAATTAGATTTTACAAATGATGGAATGGAATTAATTTACCCCCAACTTGAAAAAACGCGAATTAATGACCATTTTTTTTTTTCTCTATATTTTGGCACAAACAATCTTTATAATAAAGTGAACATGACATTTTATATTAAACCTCAAAAAGACAAATAGTACCCAGAATTTGCTACAAACAATGCTCATGTTTAATTAAATATAACAGTTGTGGGTATATTAAGTGTACACTATATTTGTTACAAAACTCATATTAATAAATAAGAAGGAAAAGAAAGTGTGAATTATAAATGCATCAATTAAATTTCTTTATAATCTTTGATTTCAAACTAGCGACAGTGTTACTAAACAATTCGTGAATTCGGAGTTGTATGTATGAAGACAGCGGATAAAGTAATTGTTGCGAGTGTAGTTTTTGCGGCATCGAGGTGACACAAATATACTTAAAAAACGTGAGGAACGAACGAGAAAGCGAGCTTTGATAATAAAGTTATTTTTTTATAAAAGATAAAAATCTAGGTGGTAATTCAATAGTTTATAGAGAAACACTAAGTCAAATTGCTTGCGACGGTCCTTCAAAGATATAAGTTTGTGATGTTTTAAAGAGTCTATATACGGTTAGTCGTAATTATGTATACGCTTATTTAATTTTATTATGAGTATAATTTTATTTTAAAATAAATAATAAAATTTATACTACTTTTAATATAAAATTCAACAAAAATATGTCAAAACATATGCGTCTTCCCCTGGAAAATATGTAAAAAAATCATGGGAAATAATTTGTTTTTTTATTTATCCCGGATATACTGAAAAAAACAATTTGGCAATCCTAGTTACGACCTACGGCGTAGATGACATAATTTTTGCACCAATGATTATCTTTATAAGTATTAGTGGTATTAATAAACAAGGTTTAAATTTGGAGTAAATTTACGCTGAGACTGCAATTAGTTCCACTTAAAAAAATAACCGGATTTGATTTACCAAATAACTCGACGTGGGGTCAGTGTAGTTTTGTTGGTGTAACAGCTTCAGAGCAGCGGGTATCAACGGCCAGAAGCACCGATTAGCCAGAGATAATAAAATTTTGGTCACCCATCCTATGACAGACCGTTGATCAAACGCGATGACCGTTGCGACATTAACCTCTTGTACTCGTTTACAGATCTTATATTGAATGAGAAATCTTAGATTTACGCTTCCATTTCAGCAAAGCCGTTTGAGATCTGCCATGTTGAACGTGGAAGGTGGTGACAAAGATTTGCAGGCGTCGCGCGACGCCTGGCGACGTTTGCGCGTAGAAGAAGCATTGTTGCGACTGAGAGTTGCGCACGCGGCCAGAGCAGTCGCTGGACTGGACGATACCGCCTTTACACTGGACAAACAGCGATTGCAGCTGGACGCTGTGAGTATATATTATGAATGAATGAACTCTTGTCACTTTAATAATAATACGGACTAGGATTAATTTTTGTTTCGCGCTCCGTCGGTTAGATTGTTAAAGAATATTTTTTTGCGTAATCAATAAATTACGGCAATATATTTTCTACATAATTGTGACGTAGCGAACCCCCACTTCTAATCTTTAATGTCTATTGTCTAAGCCATTTCTTGTTAAATTGGAGCAATATTATTGTTAGTTTTTGTGTAATCAGTCCTATTTCTTAAAATTTTAATCTGTCATATTTAATAATAATAATATTAATTAGTTCGTTAATATTATTATGAGATATGAGTACGAGAAGGTACTCATAAGAGAGTACTCGAAAGAAATATGAGTACGAGAAATCTCATTTCTCGTACTAATAGTAATAATATTAACTTTCTATACTTTAAGAAATCAAAATGGCTGACTTTGTTATTGGCATTGACTACTCGATAAATTGGCAGGTAAACTAAGTGCGTTTCGTTTCATATATTATTTTTTTAAATAAACTATTTTTTTATCCCGAAAACCTGGGGTTTAAGGAATTTAATCTCGAAGATTTCGGGACTGTGGAAGGGCCGGGATCCCGGGCTTATATCCCTTAATTACGTCACACGTATATACGTTATCTACATCGTCGTGACGTAGCGAGTACCCCATTTCTCAACTTTAATGCCTATTTTCTAAATCATTTCTTGTTAAATTGGAGCAATATTATTGTTAGTTTTTGTGTAATCAGTCCTATTTCTTAAAATTTTAATCTGTCATATTTATTAATAATAATATTAATTAGTTCGTTAATATTATTATGAGATATGAGTACGAGAAGGTACTCATAAGAGAGTACTCGAAAGAAATATGAGTACGAGAAATCTCATTTCTATCATGTCGGACTATATTTTTTTTTTACCCAAGCATTATCCCTATTGTAGTCGTTGTATCCGTCATTTCAGATAGAAACTAACATCGATAAATGTAATATTTCATTTAAACAAAATGAAAAAAATATATATTAGGGACAATTTCAATATGAGGAAGTATTTTAAAAAAAAGCATTAGTTTCCAAAATCTATGTGCATCACAACCTTTCCGGTTTTCTTTCAAGTTTAAAAGTAAATTAGTTTTCAATACTCAATAAACAACTCATATTCTATTTGTACTTTTTCGTGTTTGTATTGATATCTAAGTTTCGAACTTTTTAAATTTCAGTTTTTTTAATATGTTAATTAAAGGAACGGAAATTACTGTCTTTGGTCTATTCGTTTCCTGCAAAACTCAACTTTTGCTAGAGTCGCCATTTAGTGGAGGTGCTTTTTTAGTGCTTTCGTTTTTTTTTTTTAAATACTTCCTCATTGTAATGAGATAATAATGTTAATAAAGAACAATTTATTTATTATTAATTCAATGTCATAATCTGTAGGCTATGAACGAACGCTTGGTTGAGATCTCGGCACGTCGCGACATGTTCAGTGTGCAAAAGCGTGCGCTGTTCGAAGATTGCGGCAAATTGCGGTGTGAAATACGTGAGAGAGAACAACGCATCGAACAGCTGAAGAAACGGTAATGTATTGTTTGTTATGTAAATTTCGTGCGGAGTCCAAAAAAACATTAAACTATCCAAATGAACTTGTTGAACGAATTCTTCTACTGTATCCTTCTACTACACACATCTATATATACTAATATTATAAAGAGGAAAGATTTGATTGTTTGTTTGTTTGCAACGAATAGACTCCAAAACTATAGACCGATTTTAAAAATTCTTTCACCAACATGAAACTACATCATATCGATGAACATAGACTATATATTATCCAGATAAGCGGGAAATATAGGGATGAAAATATGAATGGAAGTTTGTAAAACGTTACCATAGTAACCATTGGTTACTATTCAATGTGTCATTAAAATTATATCCGTGTCAGGACATGAATCGATACCCAAATAAACAGTTACCTTGTTATCTTTAAACTTTCCGTTTAATAATAATAATAATAATAATAAAGTATTTATTTTGCCAACACACAACACAACCCAAACAAGACAATTATAACAATTAGTACATACAAGAATTTAAAGTGTAATGTTGTGTGCTGTCAAAACTGACCTCAGTTCAGCGTAAGCAATGGATACACCCATTGCACTGGTATTCTGCTGAAGTCAGTGGCGACAACACGGACCTACAATGTTCGACATAAAAATATTAAATTAACAAAGATAAATATAACGACATACCTATATATCAACGAACACAAAGATAAATGTAGGAAGTTCTAATTTCATTTAAAACACTATAAAACAAAGAAAACACAATACGGGTGCATTCATACGTACAATAAAGAAAATAGCACCCTACGAGTCAAAATCCCTCGGCCTATGATCATGACAGCATAAAAAGCAAGTGATGACGTATTACTGACGTGTCCATACGTGGCACGAGTGGCCTCGTAAAAACGTCAAATTGAGACTATAGCCTGATACAAATACCAACTTTCAGTATGGAGATCGAACATTAAAACATAACAGCTGTTTTTTTTTATTATGAGGGTATCATATATTTCCTTTTTAATATATGAATTAATCCAACGATATTTTCTTTCGGATTATTAGTAAAAAAATAAAATAAAATTCCTTTAATTTCTCAATGGCATGATAAGCAAAATACATATAAAGTGACTTCTACGTATTTTCACACTGTTACTTATTTTACTTCCATGATATACATAAATCTTCCTAATATTATATTTGGATTTGTTTGGATTCGTTTGTTATCGCGTTATATTACAAACTAAAGTTATTTTATTTATTTCGTTTTCCTCAATAAATTAACAAACTAGAAGTAATTATTATAACAATACTTTGGAGATTATTTATAAATATTTTAAAAATAAATAAATAATTTATCTCTTGCTTTTTGTACTATCTATACTTTCTGCTTTCATATGACGTCACGTGGGTATTTATAGACAAGTTAGATTAGATTAATTAGTTAAGCTGAAATACTTGTTTTTTTTTGTTCGATTTTCAGTCGTTATTTTTATTTTTTAATGTAATATAGGTTATTTTTTTATAATGTGAGTAGATTTTTGAAAGAATGGTCATTAATAAAACTAACGATAATGCCACGTGATTGAACAGCCAGTCGTTTTACAGATACGAAATATTCATTGGATCATTGGGCAAAGACGAATCCGGTCAACAGCTGTCAGTAACCTTTTTCAAAATTAAGGTATGAAATTTATGTAGAACTATAAATGTATAATTCTAAATATTGTAGATAATTTGAATGTTCTAATATTTGTCATTGTGTTCTTAAAAATTTCGTCTGCAAGATTACTTAATTTACCTTAATTCTTATTTCAATAATAGGGATGACGACTAATTTTTGTTTGTTTGTCCGTTAGGTAGAGTGTTAAAAAATATTAAACACGTATTCTTTTCGTAATCATAAAATTACGGCGTTACATGGAGTTGAAATTTCGTATGACTTCACGTTATGGTACATTTTCTACTAAACTGTGACGTAACGAGCCCCCACTCCTCAACTTTAATGTCTAAGCTATTTCTTGTTAAATTAAAGAAAAAAAAACGTATCTAAAATTTTTCTGTTATCTGACTGACGGACTAAATACAATTGCCATTTTTTTTTACCCAGACGTCATCTCTATTCCATAGAAAATAGTTTTCGCTGGTTTCTCTTAAATCGTCAGTTGTCCAATATAAAATGTGTTGAATGATTAGTTCGCGGCGGAACGCGCTGAGCTAAGGACACGTGGCGCGGCTCTAGACGCGGACATCGGCCGACGCGAGAAGGACGTGTCCGCGCTGGAGGCGACGCTGCGAGTAGTGCACGCCGCCCATCAACACTTCATGCATCACATCTCGCCGCTCGCTGCCGACAGTACGCTCCCCCCTCTCCCTCTACCCGACCAATACTGATGTATACTGACAGAAAGACGTGTCCGCGCTGGAGGCGACGCTGCCGATCAAAAACATGTCATTAGCCAGATCTACAACAAACTTGGATCGGGCGATCCAGTGACGAAATAAAACATGATCCAACTTGTATTTCATATAACTTAGCACTTTAGATCGCGTTTTTAGAAAAGTATTTAAAAACTTTCATGTGATCATATTTAACTTAGTATCACATTTATTTTAAATAAATAAACATGAGTACTGGTAGCACTCGCAACGAAAGTGTTGACGTTTAATTTATTGAAATTTGACGTCATACGATGTTCCATCATGTCCGCGTTAACGTTCTTGAATTCCACAGATGATAAATCGCAAGTTATTTTCGCGAAAATAAAATATACTAATAATATATTAAAACAATACTCTTCTTTACATATATAAGTAACCATTACCAACATAGAGAACTGCTTTAACGTTAGTAAAATTTTGACTGTTAATAATTGCATTTAGTATCTTGGCCGCGGCGATCATCCAGTACGCCAGTGGATGATCGCCGCGGCCCGCGATCATTGTTGTTTAGCAACTTTCGTTAGGGTCGGTCACGGGATGGGTGACCAAAAAATCATTATTTCCAGCTACTCAGTGCTTCGGGAGGCACGTTAAGTTGCTGGTCCCGACTGCCTTTGCAGTCATTAATACCCTGAAAACCGCATTGGATTAGCGAGGAGGGTCATGGACTAACCATAGCACAGGCCTTCCTTATGTGAGGATTCCTTAACCATCAATAAGGAAGGCCGCTGCCAGTAGGGAGGTAAAAAAACTTCGACACTTAGATTTGAATCAACATCGTCCTTTTACGTACCCACTGCATACGCTCAGGCCTGAAACTTTCATATTGATTGATTTATTTGAATAGTGCTATGTTAATATACAGCGCCGGAAATAGAAGAGCTGAATGGGTTAATGAAGCAATATTACGAGTTGCGCGACGAGCTCAAGTTGCAAAACAGTCGCATAGCTGAGCTGGAACAACTAGTGAACGACATGAGTTCACGTCTCACCATACTTTCAGATAAGAATAAGCAGCTCACCGCTAGGCAGTAAGTCCTATATCTTAAAGTCCAAAGCCCTATTTATAGTGCTAATTATTATCATTCAATACATTGCAAATAACTGTATTGAATGATAACTAGTTCTGCTATTTTTTCTCTATCTGTGTAGGTTTAAAATTATAGCGATACAATAAAAAAATATTTATGTTTCTAATTATTATATTTAATCAGTTTTTCATTAAGCATATTATGTTTTCTATTTACTCAGTATATTGGTAAACGAATTTTGAAAAAATGAATGATTTTTTTTTATATATACTTAGATTGATACATTAGTTATTAGTAATGAAGCTCAATAAAACTAAACCAATGTAATTAATAGGAGGTATATTTTTTGCATTTCTTTTACTTTACAACGCTGGAGAGTGATTTATTTATTAAGGCTACCTTTTAAAACGAACATAGACTTATGCCCTTATTAATAAGAAACTTATAACGTTGTTTATTTACACATAGCTCTGTTCATACCATTCCTCTCCCCATTGAGGTCTTCCCATAACATTTCCTTAGTGATCCCTCCCCATACAACTGATTTCAGTGCCAAGTCGTTTTATATCAAAGCCACATATTAAACTATGGAACTCACTGCCGATAAATATTAGACGTGCACCATCACCGTAGTCCATTATATATATGTATTAGTATATCGCCGCTGGAAAGCATACACGTAGTAACCTGCAAAACCAAAATATTTCCGTATAAATTGACTAAAGAACACCTTATTTGTTACCTTACTTTTTTAGGAATTATTTATCGAAAAAAATTAAAGTTTTATCGAAAAAAATAAACGATTTTGATTTTGCGGGTTACTCTACGTGTTTTGCTTTCCAGCTTCGCTATGTATTTCCTTTCATGATTTTTTCATTCTTCTTCTGAATTCAACGAGTTCCGCCCTTAGTTTCTTTACTGAATAGTTCCTCTCGCCCAAGGGTAGTCTGGTAGAAATTGCTGCCTTAGCAATAAGGCTGCTTTTTGCATCTATGTTACGTATGTGTTTATGTAATTTACTGTGTGCAATAAAGTATACATTCAGTCATTCAACACTGAATATCTATACAACACTTATACATAGGTAAGGCCGTTAGTTATTTCCGTGTGATGCCCCAAGCGAAGCCGCGAGAAGTAGCTAGTGCTTTATATAGCATCGATAACTTTAAATTTTTATTCGTGTTTAGAGTTGAATCAGAGAGTGACCTCGACTCGGCTCGCGAGCGCGTCGCACGTCAAGAGAGCCGCCTTCAGAACGCCCATGATGTAGTCAATCATAATGCACGACGCGCCAAAAAACTAGTCGAGGGCGTAGATGATTGGCGTATCTTCCAGGCAAGTCACATTTTTCAAAGGTTCACTTGTAATAGTAATTTCATTTGAGGCAAAGGAATCTTAGGTCATACAGTCTATTTTTCAGCACTTTTGATTTTCTGTTTTTATTCAACGTTGGTGTTTAAAGTTATAAATGCTTGTTTGGAGTTTGAAGGAAAAAGGTAAGAATACAGAGTCCACAGGAAAGAGGTGACCCATTCACGTTTCCGCGCTAAATTCAACGAGTGATTTTCTTGTATGCGATTAATTTCATTGAGCTACAATGATCAGTTTCTTGACATTTTTACCCAGTTCCACAAACGCCCATAAAAATTGACATTAGTTAAAATCGATATTACTGACAAAAATTCCAGATTTATAACATTAATTAAAGGCTAAAGGTCTTCATTAAACGACTACAGATACGGGAGATACAGCTAAAGGTCTTCATTAAACGACTACTGTATGTCAATTAGATTGTTGAAAAATATTATAAAATAACGGCATTACATTGAGTTAAAAGCTCACAGGAAGTCACACTTTTCTACATTTTCAACAGGACTATGACGTAGCGAGCACCCGCTCTCCAACCTTAACGCCTATTCTAAGCTATTGAAAATTGAAGTAAAATAAAAAAAATACATATTTAATATTTTTCTATTATCCGACTGATGGACTAAATAAATTATTTTTTACCAATTCGTCATCCCTATTGTAAGTCGCTTGCTGTATATCTGTAGATGGCGATATGGGTCCGCGACTACGCAGAATCCGCTACGAACGCTCTACAATCGTTGTCGGATGTGTGTGCCGGATCGCCGGAGCACCGCAGCCGGCTCGGCGCCCTACTCTCCTCCACTGACTTGCAGCGCCATCTGTCGCGTCATCAGCGGCGTCTGCATGCATTTATACAACGGTATGAAAATTTCACAATAAAAAATGAATACGAAATGTACCATACCGGAAACGGGCAAAAAAATCACGTTTGTTGCATGGGAGCCTTTTAATTTTTTTATTCTGGCTTTTAGTATTTGTTAACAACAGCGTAGCCACATTTTATAAAACATTTAGCTACTTTAGTGAATTTACACAGGGTATAAACAAAAAGATCGATTTCTACAGATACCTTATTCAGAATCCGTATCGCTCGCGTCAGTGGGGCTTCATTCATAACCCATCTCAGGGTGCCAGGGACCAAGTGGATTTTTTAAGCATTTTGTATTAAGAATTCATTTAGCAAGTTGGTCCTCCCGTGAGGCACTGCAAATAACTTCGGTTGACGCCGTCGCTCCACATAAATACATCACCTGTGAAAACACTTTCTAACTTTCACGGTTCATGAGTCGGTGACAGACTGACAGCGACGTCTTAGTAATAGGCTTCCCATTTTACTCTGGGTGTGGAATTTCAAAAAACTATCTTACACTCATTCACAGATATGATTATGACACCCGTATCTGTAGTCGAGTAAAAGTAATTACTTAGCAAACTTTTAACAAATAAACAAGGATTTTAATGAAGTAAAAACAGAATCCTATAAGCTATCAACAGTTCTTATTTCATTCAAATTCTTGTTTACTGGTTAAAATATTATAACGTATATGCCATCTTCTCTTGACTATAATACGAGTTTATATATGTATTTCATTTTGTCACATTTTTAGCAAGAATTCTTTTGACATATTAATAAGTATGCTCCAATATCGGAGGTGCAATTTGGTAGCTGCTTTTAGAAATGGATAAAACTATTTATGATGTCGGTATTGATAATTAGTTGTAAGTAGATGTGGTATAAATAATTACTTTTATGTTAGTACCAATTTCCTCCTTGACCATCCACAAGGAAAGCCTGAACCCCTGTAGCAGGCCCGGATCTACGAATTTTTTTACCGGGGCAGAAACTTTGAATTGCGCCCTTTATTTACCCCTAGACTTCATGAGCATGCCCGTTTCGGACATCCCATCGTAGCCTATAATGTGTATGAAAAGATAGGTACGTGAAACTCGGTTTTTAAGTGTAAGTAGGTTTTATTTAATGATGATTATGGCGCTCGGTTTAAGTGCCCCCACTTGCTCCCATCCCCTCCTCTAGATCCGGGCCTGCCCTGCAGTGGGGACTTAAAGGGCTGATGATGATGAAGTACAAATTTATTATTTATTTAATTTGTCCAAGTACCAAGTTGCACTTCCGTTAACGGCGTCTACGAATAATTAGTTTTTGATAAATTGTAGTATTTAAAAATAACAGTAAAAAATGGCATCCATTTATACGCACCATTTTGTTTTAGTTAGTTGTGATAAGTTTACACAGCGGCGGTTATATTTCGCCAACTTTGATGTAAATACAGTCAACAGCACGTCAGACCATACAAAACGGTCAAATTTCCCCCACTCGATTTTAAACGTTAATATATTTAGCGTAGAGGTCAAAGTTCATTTCAGAAATGTGACATATTGTGGTAATTTTCATTGGTAATTAAAATGAACCCGTTACATTCAATGTAGGTATAGCAATAACATATTGTTACAGGCTCATTTCAGATGCGAAGCAAGCGGCACCATATAAAGAAATTACCATCGACGCTGAAGGTAAGTGGAAATAACACACCATAACATGATGTGGAGCAATATCTGCATAACTGAGTGACATGCAGATATTGCTCCACAGTTTCAGAAATGGCATGCATTTATACGTATCAGTTTCGTTTTAGTTTAAGGCAGACTTGTCTATGAGAGTAAAGTTGCTCTTGAAACTGACGTGACTCCAATCTGCATTCAGCCTTATACTTATTTTAAATGTCCCGAATATTTTCATTAGATTCATTCATTTTGGCAGAAAAATATCTAGTAATAACATTTTACCAATGTAATTTATTTATTAAAGTAATAAGGTTAATGACATTAAAGCCATCAACATCCTTTTACGTCCCCCTGCAGGGGCTCACAGATCTTCTTTATGGATGGATAGGGAGGATGGGGCCATGACTCTCCACGCTTGCCCAATGCAGATAATGCCGTTTGCAAATGCAGCCGGGACCAACGGCTCAAGATAATATTTTTTGGTCACCCACCCCGTGACTGACCGTTGCGAAAGTAAGCAAACAAGAACGATCGCGGGCCGCGGCGCTTACACACTTTGCCACTCAAAACCAAGCACATACAAATTGCTAAACCAAAATAAATTATACAAGATTATATCTCCTATAAATAAAACTACGTTACGAGTAGGTTTCGATTACTTAATATCTTACATGTTTTCATGTAATCACAAGAAATCTCTTGTTGAATGTTAACAGATACTGTGTTTTCTACGTCATCGGAGTCTATCCACAGCGGTGTAAGCATCGCGTCCGGATACACGAGACATCTCGCCACATTCCGTAGGAGTTTAGCGTCAAAAGTGCAAGAGAGTGCTGTAAGTAATAATATATACACACACAGGCACAATAGGGATGATGACTAATTTTTGTTTGTCCGGCAGGTAGTGTTAAAAAATATTAAACACGTATTTTTTTATTTTTTTCGTAATCACAAAATTACGGCGTTACATTGAGTTGAAATTTCGCATGACGTCACGTTAGGGTACGTTTTCTACTCAACTGTGACGTAGCGAGCCCCCACTCCTCAACTTTAACGCCTGTTATCTAAGCTATTTCTTGTTAAATTGAAGTAAAAAAAAATACGTATCTAATATTTTTCTATTATCTGACTGACGGACTAAATAGAATTGCATTTTTTTTACCCAGTCATCATCCCTATTAATCGCTCACTTGTATCATTCATCGTCCTGTTTGGTTCCGTCAACTATGGCTTATCAACTGTTTTTGTTAAGTGGCTACTCTAGCAATAAATAAAACACAGGTTTATCTATTACACAACACGACAATTTAATTTGTAACAAAATCAGCAGAATGCTTGCTTCTGTAGTAAGACAATCCAAGCAATTCAAAAACCCAAGCTGTTTAAACCAAGTATTATAGAATATTGCTCTAGTGTTTGGTCACCGATGTATAATAATCACATCAATAGAATATAAGCTATTCAACACTGTTTTCTGAGAAATCGTTATGCTAGGTTTGGTCTGAAACTTACATTAATGGTTTATAACGATCGGCCCAAACATTTTTCATTGGTCAGCTTGGAGAAGCGCAGATGGGTAATTGACTTGACTATCTTACATAAAATAGTAAATGGTGAATATTGTGACTCCTAAACCAGATCAGGAAGAGAGACACTCGTCGGACGGTTTACGTTTATAAATAATTAAATATCAGATACGATTTTGAATTTAACGTAATTTGTGGCAGTTCGATAATAATAGTAAAATAAGTAAGTAAATAAGCAAGTGAGGTTCGCCAATATTTGTGTACAATACACAAATATTGGCGAACCAGTTAATAAGACGGTATAAAGTCGATATGATTTTTATCTACAGATAACAATATAGTGTAGAAAATTAGTTTAAGTACGAATTCATTAAAAACACGAATAAACGCTGTAGGTAACAATATCTTATCGCAACTTATACACTGATATTACAACATTATTGCAAACCAATATTGCTAAAATGAGCTTGTGAAGTCATGATTTTAGTGAGCCAGTAGGTAACAAGGTAATTTAGTGAGCAAGGAACATTTAAACTACAACCTAGAAGACAGGCCCCACCTGAAAGATGTATTTTGAAGCCATAATATCGTTTTATTTTCGCTTAAGATGCTTATATTATGTTCCAAATTGATACGGTTTTATTAAATTTGGTCTTTAATTATAAGGTTCTTTGTGATGCTTACAGAATTTACGGAAATTATTTTTATATCCCCTAATAAACAATTTTTATATTACATACATACCTAACTGAATCTTTTTTTTTTCAGTTAATTGACGATATTCCAGAACAAGGTATGATAATTCATTGTAGTTTAGAGGCAATGGTCGAATAAAATAATAGTTATTTAAGATACGAGTGCAGAAAGGTTTTACTTTCCGCAATCGTATCTTAAATAACTACTTTTTACGCTCAAGTTTCTTACAACATTTTTCAATGCTTTTTGCGGGGAAATAAAACAAATATATAGGTTAATAAAACTAAGTATGTATTAAAGGTAAAAATAATTTGTTAAAATTAAACGTTATATTTGGACATGTTTTCGTAACATACATTTTTATTTGAAAATATTCGTTGTAGGCTCCTTGAAATACTTTTGCCTCTAAAGTTTGACATATTTTCATAATTTTTTTTAAAATATTTTTGGGACTCGGCCAAACAAAAAATTAAAAAAATCCTTTTAAGCACGTGTGCAGTAAAGGATTTCAATACATTTTTATTTAACACGTGTTTGAAGACTCACTTTCGGTGTTTACAATTGATTTAAAAAATAGCGCTTTATGAGCAACTGCTTTGAAAATAAATATAGGACTACATCACATACATTGCTCAGAGTCCAAGATGAGTAGCTACTCGTATTATGGAGTATCTGAGATAACGAAGTACCTAAATACTCAACACCGTTAGTTTGTATTCTATGGTGGGTGGCTAACAGCAAAAACTAGAAATCTCCATACTAATTCATAATGTAAAACTTGCACTTACCACTCAGGTGGGTCTGTGCGGATGGAGTCCCGCTAATAATATCATTACCTATTAATAATGTTCTAATATTTTATTTTAGCGCGACGGTCAACAGTGTCTTTACGAGTGGTGACTCTTGGTATAGAGGAATCGGCGCGTATGATCAGGCCCAGCATCACTCAATCAAAGAAATCACTACGATAATTGGGCGGCAAACAACTAAGAGTTCAAACGTGGATAGTTTTTTTTTATTATGTTTATAACGTCTTTTGCTCTCTTTTACACTGACGAAAGCGTTAGATTTGTGTTAGTTAATATTCTTTGGCAATTATATTCTGTCGCGTAAACAAAATTAAGATGATGTTTTTAATGACATAAATAGTTGATGCTTATTGTGTATTGAATTGATTAAAGTTAATTTTAATTGTATACTATTAGTTTTCGTTTTCCTTCAAATTTTTATTGTATAACTCTTGGTGAGAGTGAGTTCAGCAGCGCCACACTCTTGGATTTTGAAATGTATTCTTGTTAAGTCTCTTGTCCAAACTGAAACGGTGTATCCTTGAGTCGCGGAAAATTTAATTTAATTTAAGTAGCTGTGAGCGCCGTTCTTGTCGTCATTCTTAGTGGGAAAACCATAGACTATTCATTAAGAGATTAATCCATTGCGCCCGGCAATGAACTGGTAAAGGTTATGGTGAATTGCGCAGCAAAAACAGTTTTTAATCAATAACTCTCTATTACAATTGTTGTAAAAAAATACTACATAATTCCCACGTCTACAAAGTGACTTACATATTTTTTTCCTTTAAAAAAGACATAATTACAAGAAATGGCAAAAATGGTGATATTATTAACTGCGATTTTTTCGTATCGCATTATTTTTTCAACACTGAGGTGTAAATAACACGGCAGTCGCCCTGCTTCAAGTATTATAATTATATATTGGACCGCTAGTTTAAAAAGGGTAAAAATCGTCTCCAGATTACCGCTAAGTGGAATTGATTAAGAACATAAAATACACGATGATGGAGTAAAAGATTATTTTCCATAAGAAAAAGTCAGTAATGGTTCTTAAATCTTATTTTAATTTTTCTTCCAATGTTGTGTGTACATTTTTCATTTTACATATACATAATATGGTGACAACACAAATATAAGAAATTATTGGCAAGAACATAACATTACATAGATAACAAAATCTGTTATTAAGGTGGGATTATAATTTTATTGTCAAATGTACTTAAATTATTAAAATTTATATATTTTTTGTATGCATTGTATTAAAATCACTATTTGCGCAGGTACTACACAAGCTCTACTCTATGCTAAGTGCTAGAATAGTAGAATGTATGTACATTTTAAAAGTTTTAATACATACATTCTGTGCTTGCATTCATAGTTTCTTACAATTATTATATAAATACTATTATGCACAAATAGTAATGGAACTCAAATGATGATATTTTTTAATGAATCTACAAATGATAATGCTGAAGGCACAAGGATTACGTTTCACTAATATTTAAGAGTTACGTGAAAGAAAATTAATTGATAATTTTAATTAATTCACTCATTCAAGTGTGCAAATTGAAGTTACCAAACAACATCTCAGTCAAACAAATATGTCATGGAAATATAAACTTAATTGGATTCCATTAAGAGTCAACTTTATAGTTGACTAAATGATAAAAAAATAATAAGAAAAAAATGAATTCTTGTGGTAAATTAACATTGTTATTGAGATTTATATTCATCACAATTTAATAGTTAATTCTCTTATAAATATAATTTAGTTACCTCGTTTTTAATTAAAATATATATGGATGTTATTTTGTTCTCAGTGAAATTAGATATTAGTGAATTTTTTTGCACACTCTTAATAAAAACCTTTCCACCTTCACTTGGACAACTTTATAGTGTAGGTCATCTTAATTTAAGAGGCGTAAGACTGTTGATTTACAAAATTTGGATTTTCCTACTATGTTTCAGAAGTATTTTAACTAAATATCCATATTTTATTTAAAATTGGTATTAATAATAAATAATACGTATTAAAAATAAATAAATAAAATAATACAAATAAGGACAAATACAAGAGTCCATTTTGGACGTGTGGTGAATGAGCAATGAGTACGCTATAATAATGAAAATATCTACATTACACTACGTCACTAGGGTTGCCAAAAGTGGACACAACAGTTTTTTCTTTACTTTATGTATTTTTTTAGAAATAAGTACAATGATTTCTGACTTCATATAAATTATTTCATTCTGAAATTAATCTGATTTTCTTACTGGTTTTTCACAGTACAAGGTCTCCCCAGGTAGATTTGCAAACTAATGGATTACTTTTTCAACATTCACAAGTGCCTGCTATAATCAAGACTGAAAAAGGCCATTTCATTTTATGGACAAGAAAAAAAAATGAAAGCACAGTACCCCTTTAAAATATATAATGCTATAATTTTTTGTGTCCTTTAATTCCCCAATAATATAGTTTCCAGGTACAAAATACAGTTCATAATTACCTATCATGGTTAGGTTGGCAACCCTACATGCTATTTCGTTAATGATCACAAGTAACTGTTTGAATGGATTTTATATTATTACTGTCTTTACACAATGGAATTAAAGAGGGCCTATTTTCAATGGCCATATGGAAACATAAGTAAATTAAATTTATAAAAACAGACATAATCATGTCAATAAATAAATATTAAAACACCTTTATACACACTAGTGACATCAATATAATTTCTTTTAAATGAAAACTTATAACAACATCAACATATAGTCTGCTATGTACTATAGTATTTAAGTAAAGCATGTAATAACAGTTTGCAAAACTGTTTAAAGTAATATAAAGTAAATAGTTTTGCAGTGACATCTTAGAATGTTGTTTCAAGTTTAATTTTAAAGAAAACGATATTTATTGAATTTGAAGCTAGTATGTATGAAATAAGGTTCATAACAACTTCAATACTATTGAAAGTTCTAACACTGTTGTATATAAACACATTCTCCCACTATCAATTTTACATACCTACAAAAAAGAAATTGTCGCTACTCAACAAACAGGACACAATGGCTAGAGTAGGAACTGCCCAGACCAAACAGCATTGGGAATTCAATTGTGAGCATGACATGTGACACAGGCTTGTAGCAGTGTGCTCCATTCATTAGACGCCTGGACCGCCCTCGTTTTTGCTCACGTCGCCACACTTGCTTCTCACTTATTTCAAACAGTGTTAGAAGATCGAAGCGTCATAAATCAGGGAACCGAAGAGGATCTTCTATATAGTCCTCAGGTATAATAAATAATTCTGGTGGTATATCATCACGGAAATCAAATTTTTGAAAGGTGATTTTAGCTGTCACTGTAGGCAGTATAGGTATGTCAATTTTAACAGGAAACCCTTTTGGTAACTTCATAGCTACAAATTGTCGTAATTTTGCAAAATGTTTGAATGGAGCAATCACTTCAAGTACATTGAGAAGCATGTCAACACTGAGAGGAAAATCATCACTCATAGCCAATGTTGCTCTAAAATTTCTAGATGATTCTTTATAAACAAGTTCTCGTCCTAAACCAGGATACTGTCCTGGTGGAGATGATATGTACATGTTCCACTCCACTCCAGAATCTGGTGGAGGGTTCAAAGATGCTCTTCGAGTTGGTTCACCATTTGTATCTAAATTTTGCGTATTGCCTTTTGTCAAACTTTCAATAATAGCTTTATTTTTTTGTAAATCATCTGTAGACAAATGTTCTCTTCTTTTTCGTGATTCTAATACAAGTCCAGTGATTGTATAGATATCACTTCTATATAACCCTGCAACAGTCTCTTTCCGGTCTTCGCGAAATATCCAACCTGATTGTGCTCTTGAAAATGAAATACCTTTTGTAGACATTTGAGCTGCCAAAATATCACTAGACATCAATATATCTACTTCATCTTCTATTTCATTTTCTGTTTCCTCATAGCGTACACGTTGATAGACTTTAGCTTTATTATCAAGTACGGTTAATGACTCACTTGGAGGTTTTTCGCCTTGAAAAATAAATGAAATATCTCCCCTTTCCCACTTCATGTCAGTGAAATCCACAAGAGTAGTGTCCAACCTAATACCTGAACCTGATTTGTAAATTTTGCATACATCAGATGGAAGTATTCGGGACACCAATGGAACCCATGAATGGAAGTCCCATTTTAGTTCCATATAAAAATCTTGTATTTGAGCAAGAGCTCGAATTAAGTCAGGTCGCCGGACTTCCATTTGTTCGCGGGCTTGCTGTTTAAGTTTCCGAACGAGAGACGATATTGTTTGACGATCCCCATAGCTGATCGCTTCGGCGAGTGGCGACCATCCAGCAAGATTTTTCACTTTAACTGGCGCGCTATGTGCCAATAATAGTTGTACGCACTCTTTGCGACCTAGCATTACTGCTAGATGCAGTGCTGTGTTTCCATGCTTGTCTTTACGTGTCACATCGTTGAATCTCAGTAATGATGACAGCTTTCGAACATCTCCAATGAACACACATTCATGAAGAGGATAAGAATCGTCCTCTTCTTTGCAATTCGTGGTAGACATTTCGCATGTATAAGGGTTTTAAATCATTACTCACAATTATTATTTATAAGGACCGAATTTGATGCTAATCTAATCAATCAATGAGATAAGATTAATATTTAATTTGAATTCTTTCTTCCATTATAGCTATAATGACTGAGCAAAGTGCACGTATTGCACAGCATTCCCGCTGTTTCATTATTATTTTAGGAACCCATATTTTCATAGTAAATAAGACTAAAAACAAAAATTAATTTGACGATGAACAAAACGAATTCACCATTTTTGTGTTTTTTCACAAATGTATTCAAATAAGACATAGGGGTTTGGCCCATACAGCTTTGTTTTATTTTTACTTAGATTGGAATAGTAGATAATATTTCTTTTGTTTTTATTTTAGATATTTAAGTGCTACTTTTTACTTAAATAAAGAACTTCTATGCCAACTAAGAACTTCATTAATATGCATTTTTATTTTTGCGAACTTAGCATTTAACGATTCAATGCTGTAATAGAATAAACGTTTATAGATTATTAAATAAACTGAAAAATTAATAGGATATATTCAACAAAATTTGACATGACAATCGATGATAGAATAGTCATAGTTGCTCTTTGCTACTTTTTGGTATAATATCAAATACTTTTGGAGTCAAGACAAAAAAGCTGAAAAAAAGATCCTTTCACATACTCATCGTAACGGCATAAAAAAGATAAGCCATTAAAAAAGAAGCAGAGAAGAAACATATTTTTGTCGTGTTCGGTCGTGGCGTGACGTAGTAGTGCTAGAAACATTTTTAAATGTTATTGGGCTATTTACAGAACGAACGAGACGACCAGAAACGTACAGAACGAACGAAACGTTTATCCAAGCCATTTAATGGCTTGGATAAACTATTTTTTATCCGAACCCATGCGTATACGTAGCTTACAAACATTTCCCGGATCCAATAAACAGTCCTGTAACAGGACTCCTGTTGAAGTGTCTCGAGAAATTCAATAACAACACTGCTTTTATTGACACAAAGCAACTGCTCACGCTTTGCTAAACATTTGCAATGAGGAAGTATTATAAAAAAAATCGAAAGCACTAAAAATGCACCTCCACTAGATGGCGACCCTAGCAAAAGTTTATTTTAGCAGGAAACGAATGGACCCGACAGTCATTTCCGTTCCTTTTAACTAACATATTAAAAAAACCGGAAAGGTTGTCATGAAGAAATCAAGAACGTATCGTAGCGACATCTAGTTTGATTTCGGAAACTAATGTTTTTTTAAATACTTCCTTATTTGCATGAGGAAGTTTTAAAAAAAAATCCGGACAGGGAGGCCACATGAATTTTGAAGTTTGTTTAATTTGGTTTACCCTCAAAAACAGACACATGATGGCAAAGTCCTAATGTGAATTAATCAGTATACATTCGCGAATGCCCGAACTTTGCAGCAATTTGTGTGATTAAACATATCTAGCAGGGGTATTAGTTTCACACTAGATATGAGTCCTTGATTGTAATAACGCTAAAAAATCTATTTTTGATAAAATTGAATCAAGTTCTCTATTTTGATTGTTTGTTATTAGTAATATTCGTCTCTAAATACATCAATGCCAAGACGAAATGAGACGAATGGATATTATCCTTTCTTCGGCACAAGAACATTAAACGAGGCATTGATTTATTATCACTATATTTTTGTATTTAGAGACGAATGTATTATCTTTTCTTCGACACAAGAACATTAAACGTTGTTCAGTTCAGTAGATTTCAAATCCACTTCAATAATAATTAAACGATATTTGCTTGTGCTTTATTGTTTGAAATTGGTGCCGTTATTAGTTGAAATTCTTGCTAAGAAATAACAAAAACTTCTTTTCTTTTTTATGTTAATTGCCAGTCTCGTACTCTTGTTTGAGACCAGTGCTCTCACGAGGTCGCTCGGATCATAACATTTTTGCTTTTATAACAAAGGAATAAGAGTTATGCCATAGATAAGGAACTAGTTCGTGAAACGGTATAGTTAATATTTATACTACTATGACTAGTAGATCGAATAAAAACTTATAGTATTCTTTAAAATGTAAACTACAGGTACTCAATAATAAATCTATAGGTATTCAGTAGTATCGATTCAGTTTTCTTGTATTATACATGTTCCAATTATAATATTGGAGTGAACATCCCTACTTTTTAGCTTTGTTTTGAAGCGTAAAAAATTGACAGTTGCGCATAGCAGTAAACGCCTTTGGTTTTTTTTGAACTTGTACAATAGGAATAAATCCGATTGTAATAATCATAATACGTTTGGGTGCTTAATGAACTGAAACCAGTGTTTAATTTTCTTTTTGTGCCTCAGTTACTAAATTTACCACATTTTGCATAAACCCGTAGATATTTATCTCGCCGCTGTTAAGTTTCTTTTTGTCCTGTACCTACGTATTTAATTAAATTTGGGCTGGTCGATTGAAATTAATTTACTACCTTGTTGCGGTTTTTGTTTCTGTAAAACGAATTGTTTTGACACATCGTAGTTTTTGTCTTTGTAAAACTAAACTTTTAGGTAAATAAATATTTAATTCAACCGCATCCGCAGCTGCAACGAAGCCATTCAAATTATGTAAGTATTACTTTATTCTCTTTAAACATTTAATTATTTATATAAATAACCCACAATTTCACCTATGTCAATCTCAATGTAAAAGGTATGTTGATAGGAATACATTTAATTGTCAAAATCATGTGTTTTTTGCTGTTCTTGTAACAGAGCTGTCTTACTGTGTAAATAAGTCTTGCATTTGTTACATTACATTTGTAACCAATGAAAGATTTTTTGCATATAAGTATAACAGTATTACTTATAGATATTTTACAATGAAGTCTGGTTTCAGACTTATCGGTAAATAAAAGGTTATCATTACATTCATATCTGTGTTGTTTCTCTATATTTACCAGACATTATCAAATTGTACACATGCATCATGAGGGAGATTTATTTTAATTCTTTATTTAAATAAGATATTAATTTACAAAGAATTCAAATATTTAAAAAACAGTGTTAGTATTTATCATGATAATTATCCAATAAATTGATAATCATCCGTAATTATGGGCAATAATTTTTAAAAACAGTAAGGCATCCATTATTGAACAAACTATTATTTTTGTATTAAATAAATTTTGTTTAAAAATTATATTAACAAAATATATGAAAAAACATTTTCTGGTAATTACATTGAACAAAAAGTGAAAGAACATATAATTTTTGATAACTTAGTGTTTTCAAGATATTAAATTTTTAAGTTAGGAGCATGAACAGTTTCCTCTAGTTGTTGTGAACTTTATCACACTTGTTCAGTGCACGCCATACTTCTGAGTACTTCTGACCTATGTTTGGTCAAAAATTATTTGGGCTTTTCTCTGTAAACTGGGCAACTCATTCTAAGATAACTGTCTAGGCAACTTTTTTGCTTTTAGGTTTCATTAATATTATTTGGGTTATAGATATACGTCTATTCATTAAAATACAGTAGGGGAACCAAAGATATTCCCATTACTTTAGGAAATATTAAGCATATTCTGAAAAAATCATACAGGGGATTGTTATCTATGACAGGGGACTGTAAACTCAAATAAAAAAAACAATTTTTGTATCAGAATGCAATGTTTGTTTATTATAATTCAACTTTAAAGCTTAAGAATTAAGTAACGAAATAATTAGATAATCAACTTCAACTACCTATATAAACTTTTGTACTGAAAACTTAATATTTAACTTCTTATATTAAAATCACATTAAAAAGACGTTAAGTAACTTTGAATCTTACAATAATAATCAGTCTCATCATAATGAGATATCATCTCCTTAATATAGCAAAAATAAGTAAAGAAAACAGTATCATGACAGTCTTATTGTTTTTCGAAAACATCTACGGGTAAATCAAATTTGTAAAATATTCTATTTCCTTTTAAAACTATATTTGGGTTAGGCAGCTTCTGTATTACTTGGTCCATTGTAACGTCTGCCACATCATCTTGATCATATTTAAATAATTGGCCTTTATTATCACAGAGCTTTAAGAATGTAACCCGGATTTCGTCATCTTCTTCATCAATCTTGTCAATTACACTCACATATCTATATTCCGTATTTGTATTGCCAAGTAATTTCACGACAATATAATCTCCAGTTTTAAATGGCTGTACTATAGCACAACTGGGCCCAGCTTCATTATCAGATTCTGAATCAGTGAACACGTCTTCTACATTGAGTTTTTGCTTTTGTTCATAAACAATTTTCCCGATATTAAAGTGCGTACAACAATCATTGTCGCAAAAACAGCTTAGATTTTTCATCACTATCTCAGTAGAGTTTGATTTAATGCCAAATTGAGTACAGAATTTTCCAGTGACTTGATGGACTTTGAGAGTGCCAACAAAATTTTTCACATTGGTTTCTTCTCGACCGATTTCAGCACTCATTTCTTTAATCGCTTCATCTGGTATAATGGATAAACTAATTGCAGGACATCTCTTTTTAATGGCTTCTACAAATTTTTCCAGATTTTCAACATCGTTTCCAGTAGCGACCACAGCATCAGCTGTCCTCTTGCAGGTAGCTCCAACGCCGTCTGGAGCGCCTTTACCGTGGCCACTTTCCGTATAGTTCCAAGTAAAATTTTGCACATGTGGAAATCGTTTCGGTATTTTTGTCGCCATGATGTAAAACATTGTTTTGTTTCTATACTGCGTTACTGGTCCATCACTCAAAAAATGTAGGTTTTTAATTTGAAGTGGCAATGAATTAAAAATCGGATTAAGATGTGCCTAAATAGCAGCTGGAGAATGAGAAATATTGGTAGATAGTGTGCAGTAACATTTAACTGTGTCTTTCAGATATACAACAACCGTGTGTAGACTAATTTGGGTGCGTGAACCGCCAAAGTGAAAAGCCTGAATTTCTTGAGAATATTTAGTTGAATAATTCTCAGAAAAATCCATATGCATAAGAGCATCTTCTTCTGTCAGCGTACTTTTAAGTTTTCTTATTGCACTGAACTGGTGTACAATA